ACGGTACGCTATGCGTCGGGATCTCCATGTGATCCTGCTTTGGTTAGGGTCTAACTAAAACTCGTTTGGCAGAACTTCATGGCGACGCAGGAAGAACCCATCTTACGGAAAATATAATTGACTAACCGCATGGATACGCAGCTCTCAAACCAAGAACTCATACTCCCGCCGGCGCATATTCAGCGCCCAGACGTGCATTTAAATGCATTTAGGACGTGTGGAGATTGAGCGAAGACATCGTCGCAGAGCGTCTCACCCTCCTGGGTAGAGCACCCCTCAAATACGGGTGCAGGCGGGTCCACATTCCTACACGCCCCGCCTCACTGGGCCAGTACTAGCGCTTGCCCTGGATATATGGAGTATCATCGATAAGTACATGCAACGAAGTTGCCCCAGTGGAATCTGATATCGTGAATGTGAATGCGGTTACGGCGCTTGTTAATGCTATGACGAGGGGTTCGAGGTGGCTGGTGGCTTCCTGGTGAGGCGTGTCGGTTCGGGATGCCCCTCGTGGACCTGGAAGTGAGAACACAGTATTGACTGTGTACTTATTGACCTACAATCCTCGATATTCAACAACCTCAACACAATTTTCAAGGTATAAATGCGAGCCATCTTTAACACCCCCCACCTCAGAAATATTGACAAATTTCATATAAGCTCGCACCAATGATGTACCATGTCTGTCAGTGCATGCAGTGATCTCGAATCAGACTCTCACTGACCCTATCGGAGGTCATAAGGGAGTTTGGTAGTTAGTACTAATAGTTCGCGAACCACGTTACGGTCGGACTGTCCGTATAACCGTGCGTGAACAAAGTTCACAAGATCTTAGGAAGATATGAGGAAGGATCAATTATGTTTTCCGTAAGATAGATTCTTCCTATATCGCTATAAAATTCTGCCAGAACAATATTCAGCACATAAAAGCAAGCCGTCATCCTACCGTTCCCTTCAGATTTATCTGGTCCCAACGCAACATTGAAGCATGAAGACCCGCCGAACATATGGCGTCCACCGCGTCATCGCATTTGCAATTCTTTCCGCTTTTCGTTTGCAATTCCTTCGCTACAATTCCCGTCAGAATTATCTGATTCCATACCACATCCTTACAGACGATGCGTTTCTACTTCGTCCTCCCGGTTGTTGCTGCTTTAACAGCGTCAATATCTGCCAGTCCCATTGACAGCCGCAGTGACGCTGACACCAGTGGTAGTTGTCGCATCTATTGCAACTGGGATCCCTGCAGCGAGGGAGAAAAATGCATCTTGTCAGGCGCCCTTGGTATAGGTAACGACTCGGATGTGAGTATGAGTAGTTCGCATCCTGGATTTAACCGTGACTCACCGGCGTGGTAGGACATGGGAATGTGTGAAAAGGTGACATGTCACGACAGTGAACTACAGCAAGTCGGGTTTCTGCTTTCGCATCGGTATAGTATGGTTGATCAACTTGATAGCACGACGCGTGACTTAGTAGTGGTTCCTTGCCAAGTTGATCAATGTGCTTGCTTCTGAACAAATTTCACTGCCGCTCGAGTCATCAGGAAATCATGAGTTTACTTTTTTGACTTTTTTCAGCTTTTTCTTACTTCAACCACACTTATATAACTTCCAACATATCCCCCAACCTAAATAACCTCTCGAAGTGCGGTGACATGCGTCAGGCTAGGCCCATGAAACGCATCCGAAGAGGAACTACCACACCGGTGAGTCATGTGGTTAAATCCAGGACGCAAACTACTCATACTCACACATGCTCTCGAGTCATAGCATTTCTTGCAGTCACCCTTAGTCAGGCACAACCAAGGACAGTCATTGTCAGGGTCACTGGCAAGCATTGATGCCGCAGATCTTGTTGCTGTCAAAGCGGCGACAACGGCGAGAACAAAGGAAAAACGCATTGTTTATGAGGATGTGGTATGGGATCAAATAAATCTAAAGGGGATAGTAGGAAGATGGCTTACTTTTATGTGCTGAACATTCGTGGTTTAGGAAGAACCTATCCACCCTTTCCAACGGATGACATCTGCGATGCCAGCAGATCGCCACGCAGGTCAATGCCAGCTCGAGTCCACTGTCAGGCACAAACCAACCACTGCGTGTTGTTGGAAATTTCAGACGGCAGATACGCGGCTGGAATGGGATCCCAGGATCAAGTTTGAGCCATTTCTGAAACTATCGTTTGGACAGCTGGCTGCGAGATGGATGATTTTCCGCATTTCAGCCACCTCGAAGACATGGTTTGGCCGTCAACGAGCTCCAATCCGCATCCCACACCTTCAAGTAACTTATAAGCACACTCGAAAAAAATTGCGGACTCAATATTACTACTAGTGTTCTGCCCCCTCAAACTTGAGCAGGAAGCACTGAACTAAGGTGTATGTTGTGTAGTCCGCTTCATGACTTGTGAGTGAAGCAACCATGAAACGCATCCGAAGAACTACCACGCTGACGAGTCATGTGGTTAAACACCAGCAGTCCTTTGGAACAGGCACAACCAAGGACAGTCATTGTCAGCAGATATTGTTGAACTTGTTGTCAAAGCAGCAACAACGGCGAGGACAAAGGAAGAACGCATTGTGTGTGAAGATGTGATATAGGATCACATAAATCTGAAAGGTACAGTGAGAAGATGGCTTGCTTTTATGTGCTGAACATTGTTATTTACGGTTTAAGAAGAACCTATCCACCGTTTCGAACGGACGATATCTACAATTCCAGCAGATTGCCACCTGAAGCAAGGTCAATGCCAGCTCGAATCCGCTGTCGGGAACAAACCAACGTTTCAGGCCTTTTCACGTCATCTATTGGAATTTTCACAACTCACGCATCAACTTGCAGCTCAACATCACAAAAGTTGCTCAACTCGCGCCACAAGTTACAACGAATGACACGTCACTCACTACCAGGTTGTGTCACCACCAACTTCCGTACATGTTACGGAATACTCCCTAATATCTCGAATCGCCTCTCTGCACGCTGTCACGATAGTGAGACGAGTGTGGCCAGGGGGAGTACAAAGACGTCAAGTTGCTGGTTCACACTACAATTGCAACGCGTAGATTGCCGTAGGAGCAGCCACATTGTAGTTGTGATGGTGTGCAAGTCCAGTTCCAGTCATTCAGGGGAATAAATCGTCACTCGTTAGATCAGCTCAGAGACTCCATGTGACAACGTTGAATGAGAACTCCATTCAGTGTTACCGTATGGCGTCTCCAACTGACTCGGAGACTACCAGTGACTAAAAGGAAGGGAGGACTCACCTGTGCGTGACCTCGTTCATCCAGTTCGCCCTTAATTCTTCTTATCGTCCGGATTATGTGGTGTTGTCATTGTTATTTGTATAACCGGGGTGGGCTTACTCGCGCTGACGACCTCGGCTCTTTGAGCTTCTTAGCGAGGAAGCAAACTGATATGGTAACGATGTCACACCCGGAACCGGCCGTCACTGAGGTGCGAACGAGGCGGAACATCAGCCAGATATTTGCAACCTCAGAACTACCCCGTGGGCGTCCTCGGTATTAACAGCAGGTGTCCAGAGGTTCACGCCCGAGCCACCACAGGGTCCCGACGTGGGCGACAGCGACCGCCGATGTCCCTGAAGATGGCGCAACGTCAGTGACGGAGTGAGAAGGTAAAAATGAAGCTTACCCCCTCATCTCGCGTCCGGGCTGACGGAGCAACGAGAATTTTGAGTTGACGTGGGCTGGGGTGCCTATGCCACGTGCGGGCCAGTGACTAGACCGGGGAAATGCTGAGGAGGCATGCAGGGTGGAGAGCAGTCGGAGAGCTGAGAGCCTCGGCGAATGCGGCCAGCAAACGCGATTTGAAGAGGATCAGAGGACGCAAGTCCTATCACCTGCGCACCGTCCACGCCACTTACGGCGCCCGCGAAGGTCAGCACCTGGTTGTCGTTCCATTGAGTCATCAAGTGGTAAACCTCAAGGCGCACTGAAACCTGGCTGTGGTCGATGTTGGTTAGTAGGCAGGCAAGAAGGCGGCGAGAAAAGGACATACTTGCAACGTCCGGTGTGAGCTCGCCGCCAGACCTGGGCGCAGTCAATAGAATGTTAGTTGTCTGGATACCGTAAGCATTACGAGCAAGGCACGTATCATATGGTGTCTGGCGGCAACTTGAAGATTTAAGGCGTGCATGAAACCTGGGCGTGGTAGACGTCGGTTAGTAGGCAGGCAAGAAGGCAGCGAGAAAAAGACATACATGAAGCGTGGAAGCCCGCTGCTAGACCCCAGCCGTCACTGAGGATAATCGGCGAATGGGGTAGAACGTCAGTCAAACTCCTGCAACCTCAACCCAACCAAGAGATTGAGCTACTTGGTATGCGTCCTCGGTTTAAAGAACAGGGGACCCAAGTTCCACGTCCCGAGCCATCCACAAGGTCCCGACGTGGACGATGGCGACCGCAGATGCCCTGAAGATGGTACGATGTAAGCGGCGGGGTGGAGACAGAAGATGAACATGGAGCATACCCCCTCATCTCGCGCCCGAGCTTACGGAGCATCGGAAAGACTCTTGAGATACACGGATCGACAAGGATTGCCAGGGGGACAGCAGTGCAGGGCCACTCGAGAACATCATGATCTATGCTATTGGCGCAACACAGGCACTGCCTCATCTCACTGCCAATAGTCTCGCAACAAGTGCAAAATGAAATGATTTCAAAGTCAAAACGCGCGCAGAGAACAGAAATTTGAGCACTGGCGCACGGAAGGGAACTGGTACTAGTGGTACTTAAGTGAACCCACGAATTTCACAGCGACTCCCAGCCAAAGTCACGGCGAGGCTGTACAGTGCAACAGCCTTGAGAATAGAGCACAGGTCCATGATACCCTGCTGGTGGTGAACGTATATGCGATCAGTCACCTAATGGTTTCTAGTAAGTATCGAAACCTCCCACCTGCTGCCTCACTCAAGTCAGCTCAGTGCACATCACTGTCAGAGAACAAGCGCCCATATAGCTAAAGTAAGTAAGTACTATGTAGGCTATGCACGTGAAGCGGCATGCCCCGATGCACTCGGAAAAATGCGAACAGCCTAACTACATCATGTACTCCAAGTATCTGCGTCTATCTGCGTTCGTCTGTTTGTAGGATCATGGAGAGATGTTGTCCAGGACGCTCATGACAGCTGCAGCCCATGCATCAACCACCCACGTTCACCCCACTACCTCCATTATATCCCTCACCTCCCCCTTCACCCGCAACTCCCTACGCACGCTCCAGAGCGCCCTCATCGCGCACGCAACAACGTTCAAGACAGTGGTGATCCCAGGCGAAGTCAATACAGCAGTCCTTGTTCCGTTGTCGACGGCGTACCTGGCGTGCTGCTCGAGCTGCGAGGCGGAAAGCTGAGGTCCCACGCTGGCGAAGTCAGGTATGGTCCACCCTCGAGCTGTCGAGTATTCCGCAGCTCAACATACTGAATGGCTGCTAGCTTCCCTAGGGGAAGGGTTGACCAGGTGAGTCTATTCAGGAATCTCTGTGTACTTCCTATTAAACCGAACGCGTAGGCAGACGCTTCGTTCCTAGACACTGCGCTCAGAGAAACTCAAGGAGAAGTAGGTCTCAATGCTGGGCAGGTCGATATTCTCAGCCAATTTGGCCCGCCCGAGCGAAGTCTAATGGGTCTTAGGGTATGGCCTTATGTTGTACGTTTGGTCTCGCTCTCCATGAGTGCTATTTCCGACTTAAATTGGGAGCTCAGGACTTTGTATATCCACCCGGCGCCCATGGAACAGATACCTGGTCCCTAGACGACCCCTTGCCCTCTATCTCGCTTTCCTCGCTCACGATGTCCCAGCCCGAGGTAGCGACCGTCTTCCACCTTCCCCTCTCCGCATTTGTGTCCCCTGCACGTATCAGGCCTGATATGTTCCGCGCCACCAACCTGTATTGGGCTATCGATGTTTCTGACCTTGTGGAGGGGTTCGAGGGGGTAAGCGATCCATTAGGACGACCGGAAGTGGGTGGTGGGAAGGAGGGTCGCTTAGAAGTTTGGGGGTTGACAGGTTGGTATATGTCACTGCTCATGAGGATCCTACGGGTGTATACTTGAGTATAACATTATCATGTGGTTAGACTAATATCCCCAGAATCTAGAGAAGCACGATCTTGTGTTCGCTCAAAAGCAAGATTCACTGATGACCCACAAGCTGAAACACTGGCTCCCTACGGGCAATCACGTTGCTTCTCAAAAGAGTACATGCGAGGGTTTCTACAGTAGGAGGAAGATGGATTACTTATTGCCTCCCGCTTCCCACAACTTGTGTGTTGAGCTTAGTCAACATCATGGTAGAGTCTTCGGGCATTTCATCACCAACTCAGTCTGCCAGAGGCAGGCTCATTTCCAGTCGCTACTGCTCCAGCGTCATGACCTTCTGCACAACCGTCTCCCACATCATGTTGTTGATCCCCTTCGCCTTCCCAAGTTCTCTATCTCTGCTCCAAATTCTGCAACACGATCATGATAAACTTGGACTTGTTTTCCCGCTTGATGCTGAATCCTGATCGTCTTTGGCGATTCCTGCAGGGTCCTTCCAAGATAGTCTAACACATGCAATCGTGCAAAATACGCCTTCCGTCACGCTTATGCACAATGCAGGGGGACACGGAGATAAGGCCTTCAACGAGGCGCATCGGAGAGCTTATCTTCGTGCCGCCTGGGCGAGGAACTCTGGTACGCATCGTGGTCAGACCCACGACAATCAAACTCGGGATGGGCTTGGTGCAGAAGGTGGTACGTCTAGCAGATCCAAATTTGTTCGGCAGTTTTGACACACCACAGGCGTCTATCCCTTCCGAACTCATCATTTCATCGCATACTTGAATGAAGACCTGGGGGAACATGACAATCGTATGTAAAGTTTCCGGAGCATTTTCCAGTCGTGATTTACAGGCGTGTCGAACCTACCGAGTACATTATTATACCGTGCCTCAAATGCTTTGCATCGTACCTGCTTCTTGTGCTCGCACTCTGGTCTTGTCTCTACTCGACATCATGACGTATTCTCCAGTTTGATTTTCAACCTGCTCTGTTGCGCCTTGTTAAACGCTTCTTCGTTCACGGATCTTATGCTTCTCCTCGACGGCCCCTACGCAACATATCTGCATGGATGTTCGTTTTCTGACTATGACACTCGCTTGGGACACGACCACCGGACTCTGACCATTGCTTGGATCGAGAGTCAATTGTGACAATTGACAGAGATCAGTCGATGACCTCTGGCACTGGCCCTGCAACATATCTGCATGGATGTTCGTTTTCTGACTATGACCCTCGCTTGGGACACGACCACCGGACTCTGACCATTGCTTGGATCGAGAGTCAATTGTGACAATTGACAGAGATCAGTCGATGACCTCTGGCACTGGCCCTATAGAATCCTTTGGCTGTCTTCGTACCGAGGATAACCAAAGCGCAGAGTGGACATGTAAAGATTCGGTACCTGCCGGTGCTCTCCTCCCAAAGTTAATTGGTAAGGTTTCCAAGTTTTGACGTGTTTAATTCTATGCGCTCACCTTACTTTCAGCGATGCTGCACAGCAACACCGTAAGTAAGTACCCTGTGGATGTACGAGCCCAATGCACCGTGATTTAAAATTTGTGCAGTGGTGAACAATGACTGTGCCGCAGGTGGAACAATGGCTTGTATCTGCTCCCGATCGATCCAACGATGTTGTGAACTCCAAGAGCGGACCATCCACCCAAACAAGGCCTGGTGCCAGAACCACTGTGGGTCTGTGGATGTTTGTAACAGCGGCTATATATGAAGGATTGTTCAAACGGTCGAGCATCACCAACAGTTTCTGAGTTAACCATGCATCCCGCTTTACTAGTCGACGACATCGTTCACGCTATCTTGCAAAATGTCACGAGAGCGACAGACGTCATAAAATTTGCAAGCACTTGTTCTGCTATCTCTTCTCCCGCCCTCGATATACTCTGGTGTACACAGTCGAACTTGGGACCCCTCATCATGTGTCTGCCTGAAGACACTTGGAAAGTCGGAAATGACAATCTGATAGTGAGTTGTGTTCGCTGTGTGACGGGACACTGCTTACCATCCTCCCATTTTCAGCGCCTTTCCCGCGAACCGCTACCCACGGAATGGGAACGCGTCAGAATTAACGCGTCTAGGATACGCAAGCTCGTCAGCAACCCCATTGGCCATCGCAAGCGCCCCCCAACACCGCATCGCGATGTCCTACAACAACTTTTCGCCCAGTTTCCGCCCACTTCGCTCTTCCCTAACCTCGTCGCATTGGATTTCCAAGTAGTGTTTGACCTTGCGGAGTTTAGTGCAAACTTCTCGCTACTTCGCCAGTTCCTCTCGCCCGGATTAGAAATGCTTGCCTTTTGCGTACCGTTAGGCCTCCCGGCGCATGAGGTACAGCAATTGGTTGATGCCTTTCCGGCAGAAGCGTCCGGCCTGCGGCAATTGGTGATATCCGCCAAGTCAGGCGATTCGCCTTGCCACATCGACCTCCCTCTTAACAAGCTGGGAAAGTTGATTACGCTGGACGTAATCCGCAACGTGTGTCTGACGAGGCATAGCATTGCTGATATCGGGCGCATGCGTTCTCTACAAGTCCTGGCACTTACTTTGCATGAAGAATCCGGCGTTCTGGAGGACTCACGATTAACGGGTATGCCAGTTGAATTGAGCGCCCTAGACCGCCTCACGCTCACCGCTGATCGCATGCAACTTTGCACATCCTTCCTTCTTCGCGTTATCACCCCACACTTATCAAGCATCAACATCAATTACACTGAATATGCTACACCGGGAGAGGTCGACAAGCTCGTACTATCCCTGCAGACGTCTTGCCAATCCTTTGCTCTCGAAGAAATATCTATTGAACGTTCCCCGCATCAAGACTTTAACAAGGAGCACAGCCCACTTCCTTCCCACCTTTTCCGGCCCTTGCTCAAGTTCAGAAGGCTGAAGACTGCCAAGTTCTTCGCCATGGGAAAATACTGTCTTGATGATGCTTTCATCGAGGATATTGCAGTTGCTTGGCCGGATATTCACGATTTACGGTTTGCCTCAAAGGAAACGGTCAATTCCACTGTCACCTTCGCCGCAATGCTTTCATTAGCCTCGCGATGTAGATCACTGCGTCTCCTACATTTAACCTTCGATGCCACCCAAACGCCCGCACTCCCCCCCGGCCGGCAGAGCGAAGGCGCACCGGACAGAGACCATCATTCGTGGCCCAAGCAAACAGCTCTCCGAATGCTGCATGTCGGACACTCGAAGGTGTCGACAACGAGATCTCCCGCGTTCGTCCTGGCTACAGTGTTTCCCAATCTGCTTAATATCGCCTCGTATCAAACGCCCGGTGTTTCCTATGATATTCAGTGGCGACAAGTAGCAACGCCATTTAGATATTTGGTGAGTCCTCGGGAGGCCGGTCCACGCATGGCGAATATACCGTCTATGTTTGGGGGATATTTGCCGTGATGGTCATAGGAGGTCTCCGTGTAGTAACCCCACTCGGGACGTACCATTAGTGTAATATAGTGACCAAATACTGACTACAGTATATATCTGTTCTGTACGCTTAGATTGCTTAGGAGGAAGATGGTTTACTTATTACTTGTAATACATACCTTGATCTCTGAGATCAAAAGAGCATGGCCGCTCGTTCCTTCAGTATTAGGGTCAGCTTTCACTGGACAGAGTATCCTATAGAACTTGGTTAGTAGTCGTTCAGCGCTCAGCAGTGGGAAATCGAAAATTTGCACAGCCACCAAGAACAGTTCAACGCGATCAACAACATTCACCAGGACAACGTTGAACATCATATTCCCCTACTATTCCCCTCCCGCACAGACTGTCTTTCGTTTCTCATGTTTTGATTGTACTCGTATAGATCGTCCTTTCAGGCTAATATTTTGTTAATCACCTACAGTATGCAAACACAAGACCAACGACGTTCACCAAAACGCCAGGACACTTTCGACCTCCGTGACCAAATCATGGCAGACGACCATACAGCATCTTCCCATATGCACGCTCATGCAGATGCAACCAATACCTATGCAGGCGCCTCTGACGAGGAGCATTCCGTTCTAGAGGATGACTCGGATGGTGAAGACCGCGAAATAGAGTACATGGACGAAGACGACGACCGTTCGTCTTCACTTTCTATTCCAAATGAATCTATCGACTTTGATTTGGTCTACTCGCTGCACAGCTTCGCAGCTACCGTAGAAGGTCAAGCCAGCGTCGTCAAGGGCGATAGCTTGTTCCTTATGGACGACAGTAATAGTTATTGGTGGCTTGTTCGTGTGCTTAAGACCCAGGATGTCGGATATATTCCCGCAGAGAATATTGAAACGCCTTTTGAGCGTCTGGCCAGGTTGAACAAGCACAGGAACGTAGATGTGAGTGTTACATCATCCAACTGCTTCAAATTCATAATTTTCCTTTACAGCTAGCACACCCGACTCCACAAGAAGTCCAAGAAGATGTCGAACGTGTGCGGAACAACCTATCTTCTCGCGCTGGCTCGCACCACTCCCCCTCCCCTACCCCTGGTTTCCCGGCCACAGGCGCTGGACAGGGCAAAGGTGTCACATTCACAACTGCACGATCTGTGCACCGCTATCCCCCTGCTGTATGGCATGAGGAAGATGAAGACGAAGACGACGTAGAGTGGGATGACGGCGCGTATGAGGAAGAAGACCCAGACCTTGCGGAAGAAATGCTTGTTCGGCAACGCCAAGGTCAGATGGGCCGTGATGAGCAGCAGGATGCTATGAGCATGCAGATGGAGCCGGACGACGGAATGAGCTGGGATGATGGCGTTGCAGAAGACATGCAGGCACAAAATGCGCAGAAGAAGATGGAGCAACAGATGCTGATGCGGCCGGATGCTTTGCGGCCTGGTGGCACACCCGAGAAACAACAGGCGCAGATCCAGGTGCAACGGCTGCAGCCAGAGATCCTAATAACCGAGCAGGATGAGCGGCAGGCGCTTGCTCAACAAGCTTTACGCCATCAAACTTCACGCGATCGTATCATCGTTGAAGTCCGCCCGCCTTCGCCGTTGTCTCCTAGTAAGAGCATCGATCCCGCAGAGGCAACCGAGACGAGGAAACTCTCCGTAACACCTTCAATTGCTCGTGACGACCCAGTCAAGCAAGCCCCAGCATTAAGCGGTCCCCTTCTCCCGAGCGCAATCATGCAGAAGCAGGAGGATGAGCGGCAACGCACTCGCGAGGAAATAGAAGTTCTCGAAGAAGCGTCGAAAAAGAAGCTCAAGAATAAAGACAAGCCACTTCAGCCAGTCTCGAATACCCCAGTCCAGAAGCCTGCACAGGTGGCTGGTAAGCTTCGCAAAGAGCGCGACGCCACGGATGAGGAAGCGAAGGAGAAAAAGGAGAAAAAGAAAGGAGGCGTACTCGGATTCTTTGGCCGCAGGAAGGATAAAGGGAAGGACAAGAACTCCATCGAAACCGCCTCCAATGAATCCCGCGGATCTCAAGAATCAGGACGGTCATCCAGCAACCTTCACGGACCCACACCTGAACCGCCAATGTCTCCTGTCACTGCATCAGCCATGCAGCAACAACAGCAAGTTCTTCGCACGTCAAACGAATCGAGGACGCCGACGAGACTTCAGCCACAGCAGACCCCTCAGACGCCGCCACAAGTGCAGGCCCAGGTATCACAGCATGCGTCACAGCTACGCCAGCGCGATCAGCAACAACAGGCACTGTATCAGCAATATCTCAATCGCTCGCCGTCATCACCACCGGAAGCGCCTTCATACGGCTTACAATCGGCTTCCGCTGTGTTGTCAAGTTCGAGTTCGTATAATACCTCTGCTAGCTCTGCCGCTGGGCTTGGGCTGGGCTTGCCCTCCTCTAGACCAAGACCCGGCTCCCTCGTGCTTTCGCCAACAGCTGACGGACAAGGCGTCGGCGTACCCGAACTCAGCGTCATTCGTGTGTTTGCAGGCAAACACTTGCAGACCGAGGCAACGTTCAAGACCGTTCTTCTCAACGCATCTACTACTTCAGCCGACCTCGTCCGTCAAGCTATCCAACGCTTCCGTCTCCCCGCTGGCGAAGACGAAGCAGACTACTATCTCACTATCAAACAAGTCGAGGGTTCATCTGCGGTTCTGCTTCCAGAAGAAAAGCCCCTCGGAGTCTTCGAGTCGGTCGTAGAAGCAGCTATGGAATTACCAAAAGTCAAGCGGAGCAGCGTGGGCAGTATCAGCTCCGTCTCAAGCAACCTCTCCATGCATCCCGCCATAAAGAAGTTATCCATGAACGACTTCAGCGATGACTCCGTTGTCAAGTTCTACCTCAATAGACATCGTGAGGATGCGGATGACAGCGTCACGACAGAGGAAGGTGACGAGACGCTGCAGGCTGAGCCTTCTCATGATGTCGCAGAGGGTCTTAACACCTCGGCGAGCAGTGTCAATGTCACTCCTGATCGGTTCAGCTCTCCCACGTACCGCTTCACGTTGCAGCTTGTCATCCACCCCGAGGACTTGCCCGATGATATGGTCTTCGACCCAGTCACGGAAGCTATCGTATTTAAGAATACGCTGCGCGACAGGACTCAATCTACATCCTCGATTTCTTCTGGTGTATCACAGAATCAGCGCCGCAAAGTCTTTACCTTCCCGAAGAATGTCACTGTTGCTGAAGTGATTGAGCTTGGTCTTGAGCGTTTCGGCATATTGGAGGGTGTTGTTGATGGTGGTGATGAAGTTGAAGACAAGAACACGAAGCGGCGGAGTATCAGCAAAGTCCGATATGGCCTCATGGCCGATGCTGGAGGGCAAGGTAAGTATATACTTGGCATATGGATTTCCGTGCTGACTTCTCTGTTTTAGAACGAGAACTTTCGCCTTCAAGTAGAGTCACTGAAGCATACCCTCGCCCTCCCACTTTCCGCCGAGTTCAAGAAGGCAAACGCAGATCCATCGATTCTGCTCAGCTGCTTGGAAGCCTAGATGACGTCCATCCCGACGATCCCGTCTTCATCCTCCGCCGCGCAATTTCCTACCGAACCTCATCGTCTCGTCACCGCATGTCCGCACCCCTCGATGAAATCGCTCTCCAACACTTCCGCGATTCGATATCTGGCTCTAGTCTCAGCTCTGACAATCAGAGTTCAGCCACCGAGGAAGTTAAACCGAGACAGCTGTCAAGACAAGAGATCATCGCAGCGCAGCGTGCCGCATCGCGAGCGAGTCAAAAAGCCATTCTTTCAGCCCAGATGAACTCCGTTCGCGGTGTAGATGTTCTTCTGCCCGGAAACGCCATGATCCGCAGCTCCAGGTACGACTCTGGAGACAAAACGCGTTATTCATACGTCCTAGACGGCGAGTCATTTGATATCAGCGACATCGTCGAGCAAGAGTTGTGCGAAGGCAACTCGGCGCAAAAGAGCGATTTGCTAGAAGGCGTCCTAGGGCGCAATAAGGAAGGCATGAACGAGAAGATTGATCGCGTGTTGAACAAAATCAAAGATGGACGACTTCATGCTCAATACCTCATCGCGGCTGCTCCGAGTCAGTCTGATAGTGTTCCTTCCGCTGGCTCTGCCCCCTCAGAGTATTCCGTCGATGACGCTGTAACCGCCCGTTCTGGTTCCGATGGCAGGACTCCCACACCGCTTGCGGGTGGTGTCACTGGGACTCGACGCGTTGCGTCACCAGTCTCGGACACGTCTCGGACACCAACACCTACTGCTGCAGATGGCCGATACGGCCGTGCTCGATCCACTACCCCAGCATCGAAAACAGGGTCGAGCACTCCACGCTCTCTTCGTCAATCATCAATCGCTTCTGTCATGTCAGAAGTGTCGATGTATGCCACTCCCACCGGACAGCTCATCAGCCCCCCCGAAACACCACGTATCGAAACCGCCCCGAAACCGCAAATCGTTAAACGACCGTATATTCCCAAAGATGACTTTGGCGTCTCGCATATGATGGCGATCATTGAAATCGCTGGTTCAGCCCCCAAGGCTCCTCAAACCTCTGTACATCCAGTGGATGAGTTGCTGTTTGGGAAACCCGTAGATGTGATGTCTCTACACCCGGATATTCAAGAGATATACGCTGGTGCTTTCCAACAGCTGGATGAGATGGACAAGGTAGGAGCATCGACGCTGATGAAATGTTTCGTGCTGATGATCACTTTGATAGACATTAGATGAATACCTTCAACATGCCATTAGCGCTCGTTAATTATCAATCCAATTCGTTGGCCGTTGACGTATATATTCGTGATTCAAATATTTATAATCTATTCTGTTCCATCTCCCACATTTGCCTAAGTTTTGGTGTTGAATGGTGTATTATCGCCCTACACAGCCAAGCGTGTTGGGAATACAAGCGGAAATTAGTACAACAACCATAAAGCAACAGCCAACTTGCAGATGAACGGGAGCAAGGGATACTGCTCTAATTTTATCAGACTCGCCTTTGTCATTGTGTACTACATATTCATTGGACGCCTCCCTCCGCTAAGATTACTGACTGCGACTGTGTAGAACAGACTGCATTTGATATCTCTGGTTGAGACGCAGGACAGGGCCCATGCGATGCGGACCTTCAAATCTGCCAGCCAGCTCTGACATGCACGGCCAAGTAGAGCGTGTCTAGATCATTCAATGTGGTCGTTGCGAGAATGATCTCAATGCACGTCGATGGTCTAACACAACTAATGGACTCTGCAGGTCATGGTTACACACAGAACAAGAGGATAAGATAGCCACGCACTTTGTATTATTCGCCCATCACAACATCCATCTCATTCATGTCTGTCCCATTGGCGGACGCGGATGACGTGAAAACGTCTGCTCCAGCTGCCAGCGAATCAATAAGCAGGGCTAGCCTGGAGGATCCCAAGTTCGGCTCCTGTAATGGTTATTCGTAAGGACCAACTCATGTCTGAAACAAACGCCCCCTGACCTTTCGTATTTCCTCTAGATCTTCTTTAAATCCTTCTGCAAGGGATGACATCCAGAACTTCCTGAATTTGTCTTTCATCGCTTGTTCACGCGCCACGTCATCTGCGGAAGGATTTGACGGTAGAAAAGACGGTATTTCTGCGCTGGGCGGAGGGGGTGAAGGTGATCTTGGCCGAGGAGCATGTTTTTCATGAGGAACTTTGAGATTGTCGATCTGCTCCTTTACCCTAGATGTACCAGCGTCGTCGTCATCTGATTCGGAGCTGCTGTCCGAGGATGAGGATTCAGACGACGAAGTCGCATCGGATTCTGGTTCTTTGGTTGGGAGAGGTGCCGGGATTTGAGGTATGGATTCATCCGAAGACGAATCATCATCAGAAGATGAAGAACCAGAGGACACGGCGCGTCTCTTGCGTTTTCTGTTCCTCCTCCGAGCAGGCTTTGGTGCTGGCGGACCCATACTGGCGAACTTGGAAAGTCAATAAATTTCAAAGAACCGTGACTGCTAAAGTGTGATTACATAAGTGATGATCATCTTTGCAGATCTTTCACTATTCACGCATCTTCAGATCTACGCGAAACTTCGAACACAATGAGTAACAAGGTTGTCGGGGTTCTGGGTGCGCGTGAGCTTATAGCGTTGAATTTTTCGATAAAAGTGCTCATCATGTCTGCCAGGCTATGTTTCTAGTCTCTCATTGTTACCTCTGACTTGCTCCTTCCAGGCGGAGGTCAGCTTGGGCGAATGCTGGCCGCCTCAGCAGCTCTGCTCAACATCGATGTAGTCATCCTCGACATTGGGGAAAATAGCCCTGCGAAACAGATCATCTCTCCGCGATCTTCCTCCCTCAGTCACATCGATGGATCTTTCACAGACCCAGAAAAAATCAAGACGCTGGCCAACAAGGTCGACGTTCTAACTGTCGAGATCGAGCATGTTAATACGAGCGTACTTGAAGAGATCCAATCGGCGTCCGGAGCTGTCATTCATCCCAGTCCATCTACGGTGAAGACTATCCAAGACAAATTTATTCAGAAACAGCACCTCCAGAGTCACCAATGTCCCGTGTCAGAGTTCCTTCATGTTGACTCTGATGTAACTTCAATACGGCAGACCGCGGAAAAGCTTGGTCTGCCCTTTATGCTCAAAAGTCGCACTTTGGCGTATGACGGACGGGGTAATTTTATTGTCCGGGACCTTGCTCAAGCTGACGAGGCCATATCTGCCCTCGGGAATCGCCCCTTATACGCGGAAAAGTGGGTGCCGTTCGTGAAGGAAATAGCTGTCATGGTAGTGCGCTCGACGACAGGGGAAGTTCGTTCATATCCCGCAGTGGAGACTGTTCATAAAGATAACATCTGTCACTTGGTTTTTGCTCCCCTGCGGAGTCGCGACCCACATGTCGCGACCCGCGCACAAAGCGTAGCGGAAGCCGCAGTCAAGACCTTCCAAGGCGCTGGTGTATTTGGAGTCGAAATGTTCCTCATGGAAGACGGTAGAAGACCCTTTCTCCTGGATTGTGTGAGCCAATCTAACGCATGTATTCTCGTCAGGCTCCATCTATATTAACGAAATTGCCCCTCGGCCCCATAATTCTGGACATTATACCATAGAGGCTTGCGAAACCTCACAGTACGAGAATCATCTGCGCGCTATTCTCTCGCTCCCACTTGGTTCCACATCACTAAAGGTGCCATCAGCTGCAATGCTGAACATCATCGGCGCTTCATCCGATATGGCAGAAGTCACGAATCTCGCATCTGAGTGCAATAAAACAGACGGATGTGCTGTCCATCTTTATGGCAAATCCGAGTGTCGCAAAGGACGCAAAATGGGACACGTCACCATTGTGGGCAATTCAGATGCAGAGGTTCGCTCTCGCCTCTGGCCATTGTTAAAGGCACTGCCATCTGGGAGTACCGAAGAAGAACTCGCTCTATACGCCCCAGAAACACCCGCACCAGGCAACGGCTTTTCCCACAAACACCCGCTCGTTGGTGTGATCATGGGCTCCGACTCCGACCTTCCCGTAATGTTACCAGCTGCTCGCATTCTGGATCGGTTCGGGATTCCATACGAACTCACCATCGTCTCTGCACATCGCACACCAGATCGTCTCGTCGAATACGCAAGGTCAGCGAGTTCAAGGGGTTTGAGGACCATCATTGCTGGCGCAGGCGGTGCAGCACATCTTCCAGGCATGGTTGCTGCCATGACCGCGCTGCCTGTCATTGGAGTTCCTGTGAAAGGTAGCTCGCTCGATGGAGTTGATTCACTGTATAGTATCGTGCAAATGCCGGTAAGTCGATCTTCTGGTCCTTGCGGTTTTTTCTAAATATCTGAGTGTACAGCGAGGTATACCTGTAGCGACGGTTGCGATCAATGGTGGTATGAATGCTGGATTGCTAGCTGTGCGAATTCTCGGGGCTGGTATGCCTCATCTGTTTGCGGAAATGGATGCGTATCTGAGAGGATTAGAGGGTGAGGTTATCGCAAAGGTTGAAAAGCTGGAAGAAGTTGGGTGGGAACAGTATGAAGTCAAGAGATAATGCAGATCGACACTCGGCGGAGATATTATTGATTCTGCAATACGTATGTATACGTGCGCTGCTCTATGTTTGCTACAAAATGCATCCTAAGCACTACATAGCATAATTATCAGGTTTAACCACATAACTCATTGGCGTGGTAGTTCTTCGGATGCGTTTCATGGTTGCCTCACTCACAAGTCATGAAGCGGACCACACAACATACTCCTTAGTTCAGTGCTTCCTGCTCAAGTTTGAGGGGGCAGAACACTACCAGTAATATTGAGTCCGCAATTTTTTCGAGTGTGCTTATGAGTTACTTGAAGGTGTGGGATGCGGATTGGAGCTCGTTGCCAGTGACGGCCAAACCATGTCTTCGAGGTGGCTGAAATCATCCATCTCGCAGCCAGCTGTCCAAACGATAGGTTCAGAAATGGCTCAAACTTGATCCTGGGATCACATTCCAGAACACGCAGTGGTTGGTTTGTGCTTGATAGCGGATTCGAGCCGGCATTGACCTACGTGGCAATCTACTGGCATCGCAGATATCATCCGTTGGAAAGGGTAGATAGGTTCTTCCTAAACCACAACACAAAAGCAAGCCATCTTCCTACCATCTCTTACATTTATTTGATCCCATATCACATCCTCATAAACAATGCGTTTTTCCTTTGTCCTCGTCGTCGTCGCCGCTTTGACAGCAACGAGATCTGCAGCATCAATACCTGGCAGTGACCCTGACAATGACTGTCCTTGGTTGTGCGTGAAATTGAAAGACTGCAAGAAATGCTATGACTCGAATTCATGCGTGAGTATGAGTAGTTTGCGTCTAACCACATGACTCACCGGTGTGGTAGTACCTCTTCGGATGCCGTACAGTACCACCACATGCGGGCTAGCCTCCTGACGCATGTTACCACACTTTGAGAGGTTGGGGAAGATGTTGGGAAGATGTCAAGCAATTTTTCAATCCATGGTGTGTTTTCGCAAAATTCGCGTTCATTCATGTAATGATATATATCATATAGAGTCTATTCCATGTCCCAGTCTACCTCCGTCAAGACCTCTCTTGCATATGGGTGCTTGCCGGTGAAAGAATGACTAGTCTTCCAGAGTCGAGATTGATAATATTTACTGGCAGTATCGAAACCTTTGCCGTTGAAAGAATCCATTTTACTCGAACCATCTTCTGCAATGTCCTCAGGGTCAGCAGCGACAAGGCAGTGAGCCAGTAAAACAGAAACTTGACCTGGCTACAGCTTTGCCTCAAATATAGGTTTGAGGCGGACAGCCTTAAAAACGCCCGATACATGTACCAGCTAAAACCGTCCCCTCATACACCAAGACAATAGGTCAAGCAATTCCTCCAGATTTCTCTCAAGATCCTGACAATGTTCTGGACATCGTCTGGGATCCTGTTCCTTCGGTTCATCTCACTCAATACAGTCCAGATGATCTCCATTCGATCGAGCAATACTGTAAAAACTGATGACGAGATCAGCACGAAACTTTGGTTGGATGAACGCTGTGATTACAGCGATGTAGACAGACTGTTGGGAAAGTCGATTAGCTTGCTTGGCCTGCCCCATACATTGGTCAGGAATGTCAAAACGCAAACATATTTTATGATAAAATATCCAAGTGTACATGAAATATCGTGCATCATTAGGTATAAATACCATCCTTGCCTATGCCTTCTCGTCTGCATCATCAAGTTGGACCTGAACTAGACCAGCCTCCATCGCCATAGAACGGAAGATCGAAGTCTTATTCTCCAGCAAATTCTGTGGAGTATCAAATTCGGCAACCTAAATTGGCCAGTCAACACATCACCAGCGAAACGACATTCGAGCGTCCTTACCCTTCCACCATCTAAAACTAGAACCCTGTCAGACTCTATGATTGTGTTTAAGCGGTGACTATATGTTGACCATCAGCGCTTATCAGTTGTCGATGATGGACATGAAACATACGCAATGGTTAGAATGGTCACATCGTGGAAGATCGGACCCCGGATAATTTCTTGAACTGCTCGGTCGGTATCTAGATCAACAGCAGATGTTGCTGTAGAATAATGGACATCAGCCTTGTAGAAGATCAAGATCTCGCTGATACAGACCTTCATCGAGGACAAGCACTTTAGTCTAGGATGTGTCAGCACGGAACCCTACAGTCAAGCAAAATGAACGCGCGTACCTTGCGCAAGAGCGCCCTGGCGAAACACAACAGCTGCCTCTGACCCGACGAAAGCGATGATCCAGCCTCCTGAACCGGAGCATCGAGTCCGCCAGGGAGGGATTCAATATATGCCTTCAGATGGGCCTACGAAAACGTCGTCAGTAAGCATCGGGTGCGCACGCTTGTTTCGAAGACGAACATGTTCCAGAGCGGTCCATATATCAACATCCTGGTGCTCGCCAACAGGGTCGATGTTCTCTCGCAATGTGCCCTCGAACAAGTCTGGATTTTGAGGAACAATGGATATCGCGGAGCGCACTATTTATCGCTCGATCAAAGGGTGCCTAAGCGGACAACGTAGGGAAGACGCACGATCATGCAGGCCAAGTTTGCTTATATCTACTTTGTCGATAAAGATAGTTCCAGATGTAGGCTCAATGATTCGGAAGAGGGCGAGAAGAAGCTACAACAAAATTGTCATTACAGGCCAAAATTCCAGACAGAAGATATCTTACAGATGATTTCCCTGCCCCGGTTCGGCCACATATGCCAATTTTTTCTTTGGGTTTCTGGAACATTCAGAGTGAGCATGCATTCGTGAGAAGACTGGAGGAATAACTGACTATAGTCATGGAAATATCCTTGAGGACTAGATCCAACTCGGGCCTATACCGTGCCGAGTATTCGCTGAACCGGACAGGCTCAATATAATCAATTTCATGTGCATACTATCATAAACTCACCGAAATTCAACTTCCCCAGCAGTGGGCCACTCCGAGGCAGGCTGGTTCTCAGCGATCTCATAAGGAGCTTCCGGCTCAAGGTCTTTCGCATAGTGGACGATACGTTCGACGCTAACCACGTTTTGTTCTACTTCACTCGCGGAGCGTACGAACCAGTTCTGTGACGGCTTAGTAACCCATACCTCAAGACGGAGAGATAGTCACCTACCAGAGACCCTGTCGTATTCAAAGCATACGACAAAACTAGACCAACCAACCCTGCATCAACGTTGCTAGTCACAACAGCAGCGACAGTCAAAAGAGCGGTGATGAAGATAATCACTGCCCCAACAAACTCTAACCGTATTGCAAGCCAGCGGTTGACGGAAGTACTAGGGAGGTAGCACAACTGATTACGATCAATGCGGCGTGCGTTATCTGCAATGAAAATGGATTGTTGGTCGTAGGCTCGAATGGTAGAAAGTCCGGCCAAGGATTCCGAGAACCACGCAAAGATGGGTGATCGGGACACTGCATCAAGCCGCTTGAGTTCACGCGATGTTGCTAGGTAGTACCTAGGAATAGTATGTATCAGAATCATTCCGAAAGAACAACAAAACCATTCATACACAGTGACCCTATAATAGAACCAGGTCAGGGGGACGACTGCGATCAAGAAGGGCGGGAAGCTGAAGCCGATGACCAAGACAATGGAAGCACAGACCGCGCTCGTGCGGATCATGTTTTGGATCACTCGAGCCAGGATCTGATCGACAACATACGTATCGCGAGAAAACAAGTTCAAAATACTGCAACGAGTGTGTTAGAGATCAAAGAATTCATTCCAGGTCCATTGATTTAACGCACCGTCCCGTTGGTGTTGTCTCAAAAAAGCTCAGAGGCGCACGCATGACCGAATGCAACATCTAAAAAAAATCAATTAAAAAAATCCCACCAACACCCACAATGCAACCACCCACCGAATCGTGAAGGTGCTTTGAACTGCGAAGCGAGCAGAAAACCCAAATCAGAAGCGCGGAACATCCGCCCAGGAAAATGGCCGCCAAATTGAACAATCCATATCCCAGGAAATACTTGTCCGCCAATCCGGCGTTGACGCCCGTCTCGCGATTATGCTCACCCCAGAGCCTGAGCATGAAGGTCGATATGATAGACATCACCTGCTGCAGGACCGTAGTAAGTACGAAGAACAGGAATCCCTCCTTCGACGCTGCGTGGAGGTACTGGGAGTAGACTTCCATCTTGACGCGGCCCTGTTCACTGTGCTCCTTCGTGATGCCACTGGAAGAGGGATCGCGCAGCTTGGGCGGTGCAGCGACGACGGCTTTTTTGAAACTTTCTCTGCGAGCTGCTTTCTCCGCGATACATTCAAGCTCTCCGACAAGGGTGGCCTGCATGTTTTCCTCGCTTGTGGTGGGAGTGCCCCTGCCGCTGGACGGTCCAGGGGTAGTTGTCCCAGAGTTAGCACCGCTGGTGGCATGACCGTGACTATAATGAATTAAATAAGAGCCCGTCAGATATCATGAATTGGAATGCACGTACACAAGCTTGTGCACTTCACTATCCGAGTTCGAAATCAAATCGTTGTATGAGCCGCACTCCAAGATAATACCGCGGCGCAGGTAAACAAGTTGATCGAAGTACTTGAGATACGCGATGCTGTTGGTGACTAGAACGCGTGCTTTAGTTGCGAGCAAGCCTTGAGGACCAATGACATGGTCTGTTACATATCTTCGGTCAGCGGGGTCGGATTGCAACTGGATGTTTCAATTTACCAAACACATGTCGGGCAACATGGGAGTCGACCGCAGCCAAGACATCATCAAGAAGAACCCTGCAGAACGCATGTGTCAGCAGCAGATCATAGACGAACGGACCAAACTTGCAGATCTGCACGTGCATAGATCGCACGAGCAAGCGCGACACGAGCACGCTGGCCACCGCTCAGCTAACAGATCATTCAGCTTTCATCGATGCTATACCGTCCCGGAGTACTTACAGTGATACCTACGGGAATGGACATGATTAGCACCATCGATTCGAAGACGAGATGGACACAAACGTACCCTTTTCACCCACCTCCGTCAGGTCACCTTGTGGAAGAAGCGCCAAGTCGGGCGCCAAAGCGCAAGCTGTACAGAAAGGTCAGCCCCAGTCACATGACAACTGATCATGGACATACCTTCAATAACAAGGTTATAGAACACCTCATCATACTCATGTGAGAAAAGGATGTTATCCCGAACCGTTGCAGAAAGAATCCTATGCGCCTGTGAGCGAACATGCCAGAAATACCGCGTATAGAACGCACCAAGGATTCTGGGCAGCATAAGCCACATTGCCGAACAGCCTCACCTCACCATCCGTCTTTCGCATGTCCCCGATAATGGCTGCCAACAAACTGCTCTTGCCGCTTCCCACACGACCGAGGACACCCACTAGCTCTCCCTTACGCACCGCCAAGTTGATATCTTCCAAAGCAGCTGAAATATCTTGTTTGTTCCACTGGAACTCGCCGCCCTTGATTGAAAGCACCTGCCATACAGATGTGAATATCGAAATGGCTTCTAAGGAAATCGGATAACTGCGAACCTCGTCACCAATGTTCAGAGTGTTTTTCTGTGACTTCATAAGCGCATCTTGCTGCAGCTCCTCAGCGTGCAGGAAACCTGACAAACGTTTGACGGAGACAAGTGCCTCGATGATGTTCGACGTGACTTGACTGAACTGTAACACGGGTCGGCGATCACCGAGGTTACAATACAACTATCGCTTACCATAGCAAGTGGGAACTGGAGCAACATAAACAAGGAGATCGCAGGGAAGATGACGTCAGCTGTGAGAGGTCGAGACGAGAACACAGATGCGGTAGCAAAAGAACTAAATGCCACAATCACTGAATGATTTGGTAGTTAGTAACGAGCAGCGAGTCAAGGCAGATTACACACAAGGAATGCCTCCCCAAAGCGTCGAATTAAGAGCCTGACGAATGTTGTGAGGATCACCGCCGGTTACTAGGTCTGATAACCGATGCTTACCGTGACGACACCGATTTTCTTCAGCATCTTGAGCTCCAAATCATTGCGTACATGCAGAACGCGGCGGATGAATGCATATTCCCACGCATAGAGTTTGATACTGCACAAAAAACGATCGTTAATGAGCTTTCTGCGGGCATGAGGCTGACGTACCTCTTAATATTGGCCAAAAGCTCGCTCATTAACCTCGTGCGCCGATCGCGGTTCTTCATTTGTTGTTCCTGCATCCTCTTCAACATCCGTGCGATCCACGTATTTAGCGGAATGGAGATGATCATGATCGCAACTCCAACAAACGCCGACCATCCGAGAAGGTTGTACAACGACACAAAAGCCAGCGTGATCTGACGACAGTGTGAGTGTGGTTATCTATAGAGAATACACTACATTACCTGGAACGGTCCAGAGATCGCAATCAGACCATAGGTGCACAGGTCTTGCAGCCTGCTGGCATCGACAGACATCAAGTTGACGATATCTCCAGATGCACGACTCCCACGCTCGTCGCTAGAAAGGACGAGAGACTTTTTGTAGATGGCAGTTACCAAACCAGCACGGACACGCATGCCTGTCTCGAAACATATTTGGAAGTACTGTTCACGTCGGTCAGCACTGTAATGATCACACTGGCCAGGAACATTACCTGATGGAGAATTACAGTTTGTACCATCGACGCCAAAAACATGATGATAGCAATAGCATATCCCTCGAGAGGACTCGGACCAACAAGAAGGTGGGCCGTGCCTTTGGTGCTCTGATAGCTCGAGATGTATGCGAGGAGCCATCGAAGAAGTTGAGGTTGCAAGAATGCGAGACTGTCCTGCAAGAGTTTGTAGAATCCGGCGAGCAGATACGGGCCACCATATGACAGGAACAGTGCGGTCCATAATGACGAGCTGCATCTCGGTCGGACAAAGCACAACTCCTATATGAACATCGCACTCACTGTTTCTCCAGAGAACTCTGTAGATCCTTTCCAAGATTCTCTGATTCGTCGCGAGGAAGCAAAGCAGGCAAGTCGTCTTCCGTTATGAACTCTTTCGAACCTTTCTTCATCAAAGGCGTCAACCAAGCAAATGAGCACATGCTATACACATTCGCGGTGATCGTCGGATTCTCTGTATTATCCTTGACAGAATCATCAGGAGAGATGCACTCCAGCGCGTATGCCGGGAGAGCAAAAAGTTCGACGGCCCATTTTGACAGAATCACGAATGGATCATTTGAATGATGATCCTGCGCGAACGACCTCGTCCATATTGCGAGGCTGACAGTGTAACAAGGCCAAAACAGTAAGAGAATAGTTGAGGATGATAGCGTCCGACGATGATTCAGTCGGGTTAGTATCCAGGACGCAAGTAGCGCGAGTGGTTCAAGGATGTAAGGCCATACGACTGATGCTGTTTGTTTGAGTGATAAGACAATGAAGAGGTTGAAGCAAGACGCGACGATGGCGAGTCCCAGTAGTGTCTGTCCGCCGAATCATAGTCAGTAAATACACACTTTAAAAGCTACAGAACGCACCAGTTTCACCCATAGTCTCCAGCGACTTTTACGTGAGATATCAAGAGACGGAAGATATCCCAAAGCCCAAATTCTGTATGTCGCCGATAGTAAGAGTAGAGCCAGAAGAGACGTCAAGATGACGCCTTCCTCGAAACAAAGAGTTAAATCAAATTCACGGAGGTTGGACACGATGAGCCATCCCTCAACGTCCCGACAAGTCGCCATAAGGTGTGACAATGGTGAAAGATGAACTTCTATGGGGGGTCCTCGGTCTCAATTTATTCCTCTCACAAAGTTGTCAAACGTTAACTCAACAACGACCGATTACAAATTTATGTGACAATAATCCGTACGTACCCCCATCATTTGGCTGATCAATCAAACAACTTTGCTGTACTTGAGTACTTTCGCTGAGTAAAAATCACCCGCGGCACAGGGAGTACGCGTTCTCATCAAATTAAGGTACATGCACAGACGAGACTTGAGCGGCACTCATGATTCTGAAGCAGTCACCGCGTTCAACAGAGATGGAAAAGATTACAGCGGGGCATGAACAGGGTCTCCCGGGCCGGGGTTGACGACCAGTGTGAACGTGGTGGGCGCTGCTTGATGAAATAGACTGCGACGGCTCGACTTCTGGTTCTGATAACGCGTCTTCGATTGTAGAGATGAAATACGGGATGGGGAACGATCAGGCTGAGCAGTTGCAGACGCCTTTCTCGCCGCTGCAACAAAAGCGAGGTTCTTGATCGATAGATTCTCTCCAAGGGCCAAACGCATGCGGCGCTCCAGACGGACTTCCTTCGGCGTGTGCGTCTGCTTGGTTGTAGCCGAAACGAGTAACTCCCTCTTCATTACGCTAGCTCCAAGTGTCTGCACGAGAGCTTTGCGAAGGTCCCGTGTCTTCTGGCTGTTCGGACTTCGGGTTGGATGCGCCGGACTGATGCTGTCGGACCGTACTTGTGACTCTTTCCCTTTGCGCCTGATTGCACTCTTCGCGAGTATCTTGACATATTCTCTTCTCCTTAGGGAGGCTTTGTGTGCACTCGAAATATCATGAGAGCTCCAGGATGCTTGCGGGGCAAAGCGTGGAAACACAGGTGCGTATCTGATGAGACTCATTCCGGGTGCTCCCATTGGATAACGCGGCTGCTCAAAAACCGTCATAATACGCCAAGGAACATGACGACTTGAACATACCAAACCGAGAACGCCGAGTATTACCCTGAAGAATTTCAGGCTCTTCAAGATGTGCAAATTGCCAAGACAGTGAGATTCATTCGCCTGGATGCGAACAGAAGAAGAAAGTCTCAGAAAAGGAAAAACGAAAGATTTTCACACAACATACCGGGAAGATCGTCAGCGATCCTGTATAGAGCCCGTTCTGGTACACATGCCATTTCGACGAGTAGTAAAATATCCTTCTCTCGTAAACTTCCCCTTGATTGATGAGACTATCGAGTTTCGTGAACTGTTTGAGCAGTCGTCATAGTTGAGTAGAAGTGTAGTTCATCGAAACCGCTGACCTTGTCCTGTGTGCCTTTACAAACTGTGACGGACTCGCCAGTCCTGGTGGAGCTCCCAAGGCTGACACGCCGGTTCCACTGGAAGATTTTGGACGCCATAAACGCGATGAGAGTGGTTGCTGTATACAAGCTAGCAAGGAGAAGACGGTAGGCAGCGTCCACGGCGGACATGACACTATCAGCTGGAAGAGGACGCAAGGGAAGGATTCAAATCGGAGCGCTCACCGTTCAAAATTTAATGCAGAACATGAACCCGTTTCAGCCCAAGTCAGCCTCCGACTTGTCTCACAAACCAAGAGTGCTGAGGCTGACCTGATGGTCAATCGACCACCTTTCGTTACTTGGTACTCTGACATCATGACCTGGCGAACTTTAGCTTGCAGCCTGGTTAGTGTGGTATTAATGATGATACACATACTTGGACTTATTGGCCAGTAAGGCCCTTCCGAGTCGCACCTCTGAGGCCTGCATCGGACCTAGAAGGAATGGCTATTTACATTCGTCTATGTATATGTCTAGGGGGAGACTAGACCTCATCGGACTATATGCATTATATTAAATAATTGCAAATAAACGACATCTTTGGAACAACGTTCATGCCAGGCTCTTGGAGCATTACACTCACTTCAAAGTTCAGCCCGACTTGCAACTCAGCATTCCGTCTGCGCGGCCTGTTTGCGGACGTGCGGTTCATGCCGTCAGTACTGCCATACCGCATAGCCTGCCTGCCATCGACTATGCAACGGGCTCTTCATTAAATGGTCACTTCAGCCCGAGTTGCACAATTTAATCTTCGGTTTCATCCCCAACCATCATCAAAATCTGTCACCTTTCAGATTTCTGTTGAAACAAATGAGCGTCTACTGTGTACGGTCGGCCATCGCTAAGGTTCTGACTCGGATGGGTCTCCCTGCCCACATGTGACTCTCTAACTGACCCGACGGTATCATAGGCGATGCGTCGCGTGGTGACACTTCCTGTTTGACCTTCAATTTGGGCAAACCATTAATATTCCTACATGTAGAGTCCTCACATGGTATGACCAAGTCATCATCATCAATCCTCAAAGAAGAGTCTCCGCTTTGAATGCCGCGACCGTGTCACATGTCATAGCTGAGTACAATGGGGTCACTAATCCCTCTTGCGTGAGCGCAGCACCGACTTGACGTCACTCCGTGTAGCCGCAGGCGCTCGCCTTGCGACACCGGAGCTGATCAAATATTCCGACCGCTGTTTCAATTCAGGTTTGTGTCAAAAATGCATTTATTTTTAGTTGCGAACTAATCTGGCACATATTATTTATGCTGTCAATGCCGGTGCAATGTCAGTGTATATGTGTAATCTTGGAATGGGCCCACGAGAAATGAACACCACCAGCATCTCAGTGCCGTGACAAGCTGAAGTGCCTAGCAGGTACTAGTATCGACGTCCCACAAGGCTGCTCTCTGAATCCGATGCAGCAAGGTCTCAATCGTTACCGAAATGAAGGCACATACACAACCGTTCCCAGAATCCCGCCCGGTCACTGCCTCATCTTGCGCTCTGATGATGAATGCCTACTCACGCTTTTCTTCTCCATCGCACAAGAATGCACAGCGAAAGTATGGTTTGGACGCCCGCATAAAATGTCCGCGATTTCACCGGTCCATTGAAGGTGATCATTATAATTAATACATTCCATATGTTGCCTAACACAGATGATATCGATATCGGGTTCAATATATCTGATACATGAACAGGTCAGCGCTCCGAATTCCAGCCCGATTCTCTCGCATGGCATGTTTTGACGAGGTGTCACTACCAACCGTCGGAATTGTTCCTTTCCTATGATCGGAAGGTTGCTGTGCTGCGACTGAGCACTAGCACTGTTATGAAACACCTGGGGTCGTCTGGCTATCATGGCCGCCCTGAGTCATTTTATGTCGTGTCCGAGTCATGGTTTCAAGAGGCAATTGTGGCACGTCATCATTTTTCAACGCGTCGGCAGATCGTGTCTGACTCCCAGAGCAGTACATATTCATGTCCGGGGCGCTGGATTCAGTGGACACCTGTGTGCCGGTGTGTTGGCACGCCGTCAATAATCAATCAACAACTGCTTGGATAGGGAGGCACTGAAGGCCACCTACCACTACAAGATAAAAGCTGCGAGATGAATGCCTCCCCCCACCATAATTCTTATCCTATATCCCACTGTTCTCTCCTGTGAGAGCATTACAATGCTGATCCCTATTATAATCACTTCTCTCGTCTTATCGATCAATGCTGCTTCTATCGTATCCCGTTCACAGTCTTACCCATTACCTCGATCCGGTGTACTTGGCCCCAAAACTACAATAACCATTGGAAATAAGGTCATCGCTCCCGATGGCTTCGAACGCTCGTGAGTCTCTCGCCAGGGTACTCAAAGCTCACGCCCTGATATTTAACAGAGCAACTCTTGTTGATGGCACATTCCCTGGACCCTTGATTGCAGCCCAGAAGGTAAGCTTCCGTCGACCTCCTTGTCGTGCACCAGTGCTGACCTTACAATAGGGAGATGACTTCGCCATTGAGGTGGTCAATGAGCTCACAGACGAGGCGATGTTCAAGAGTACCAGTGTCGTAAGCGACGCCGATCATCCACGTTGGTATTGATTAAAGTTGTTTTACTGCAGCACTGGCACGGTATCTTCCAGAACGGGACGAATTACGCCGATGGGACGTCCTTCGTCACACAATGCCCTATTGCCCAAAACCACTCTTTTTTGCACTCTTTCTCCGCCCCGAACCAGGCGGGCACTTACTGGTATCATAGTCATTATTCCGTCCAGCAGGAAAGTATTGCTCAAACCTTGCAAACACAGTACACGACTGACCTGTTGAACAGTGTGATGGCCTGAGGGGACCCCTGGTAATCTATGATCCTCATGACCCTTTGGCATACATGTACGACGTCGACGATGGTGAGCGAACAATTAATTCATATTAATCATCTGACCATCATGTGTTGCCAGCAAGTACCGTAATCACACTTGCCGACTGGTGAGTTTTAGGCACATTGGTGATCTGCCCAACTAAATAAAGTCCCTAGGTATCACGTTGTGGCCCCCGTCTTGCGCCACATTATAGGCACCACCACCACCATTTCGCTCATCAACGGACAGGGTCGATATGCTGGTGGACCCATGACTGATCTTGCTGTTATCAATGTCGAGCAGGGAAAGCGATATCGTATGCGTCTTATTGCAATGTCATGCGACCCTAACTTCCAGTTCTCCATCGATGGCCACAACTTAACCATCATCGAAGCGGATGGAGTGCTGACCGAACCTCTGGTGGTAGACCAGCTCCAGATTTTCGCCGGTCAACGTTACTCTGTGGTTCTTGTAGCCGACAAGCCGGTAGATAACTACTGGATATACAGTCTTCCTAGTTCGAACCTGTCCTCTGCGGGAGGAGTTAACTCTGCAATCCTGCGCTACAAAGGCGCTGCAACGGCGGACCCGACCACCGTCAATACGCTGGCCACGAACTCATTGAAGGAGGCAAACTTGCATGCTCTGATCAATCCCGGTGCTCCTGGTATTCCGGAGTACGGGAAGGCAGACATCAACCTCAACCTCACGGTTACCAACACCGGCGGGATATTCTATATCAATAATGTCACATACCAACCTCCCACAGTTCCTGTCCTTCTCCAAATTCTCAGTGGAGCTCAAGAGCCGTCTCAGCTACTTCGAAACGACAGTATTATCGTTTTACAAGCTAACAAAGTGGTAGAGTTGACATTGTCAACAACTGGCCCAGGTGGACCCGTACGTCTTTTCCCTTCCCCAGACGCCCATGTGCCTGATATACATTGTAACAGCATCCGATACATCTTCATGGGGTAAGTTCACCACGTCTACGATAGCATGTTTGGTTAGTGCTGATGATCATTAGCATGCCTTCGATGTCGTACAGAGCGCAGGCAATACTAGTGCCTTCAATTACGTGAACCCCGTTCGTCGCGACGTGGTAAGCGCTGGCAGCCTCGGACAACAAATGGTGATACGATGGACGACCGACAACTCTGGCCCCTGGTTTTTGCATTGGTACGATATCATTTTTATCGAGCTGTCAAGAATGGTACTAACTCTGGATCAAAAGCCACATCGACTGGCACCTTGATGCGTGCGTTTATGAGTGTCCGCATTACATAAAGAAATAGCTAATAATGTACATCTAGCGGTTTTGCTGTGGTGATGGCCGAAAGCCCCTCGGATACCCGCGCACATATTAGTCCCGTGCCAGGTAAGTCATACTAATCAAAAAACTGTCCATACTTCCCTGGCTGAACTGCTTTACAGCTGCTTGGGATCAGTTGTGTCCGATCTTCGATTCCCTGTCTCCTTCCCAGTTGGGGGGTGGGGGTTTCAAATCTTATGAAGAAGCAGCTAATATTACAACTCTCCTCTTCCCAACATCGTCCCTCCATTAAGTATGGCAGTGGACTGTTTATTACTTTCGTTTCTTAGGGGTACAATGTTTGTTGGACAACTGACAGAGTCTATTCTGCGTGCTGTGCGGAATTTACTTACGGACTTTTCTATTATAAGTACTTTTATAATTAGCCTTATTCACTGCGGAAATGAGAAAGTGTCCGTATCCAAATAGAGGATAGATAGAGGTGTTAACCATACCTAAACTAGATATGTGCAATGTCATCTGCCTAGGTTCAAATATGTGCGGAATGTCGTGATTTTCGAACACTAACTGTACTCTAGTTAGATATAATGCTTGGTGTCTAGTTTGAGATCCGTCGAACAGACCATACTCGAGGTAAAGTATGGATAGGACTTAAATGTATATGTCCTCAGGTATGGACAGAGTATAGATAAAGTCTGGACTCTGGATTGCATCTAGATAGAATACAGATAGCAACAAGGAAATACATGGCGGATCCTCCTATGCAGCTGCCCCTCCATGAACTGGGTAACAAAAAGGTGCTTCTGGATGAACCCTCGTTTGTCCACATCCTCTCGTTATGTTCCAGCACCAGCTAGGCATGCAGTACTGTCCAGATGGAGCTGGCACTCTTACAGTCTCAGACAAATTTGTCAACACAGCACAAAATGTGAATCACCCTGTCCTGTTACCCCCAATGGTTCTGAATGACCCCTTCATGGACATGACACCTAATCATTGCCATGGTTTCCATCCATCAGTGTTGGGTTTGTACAGCAGGGAGGGTGGGTGTCAGAACCGTACCTAATGGGTAGGAAGGAGGTTATGGAGAAGCTTAGCTTCAGCTTGTGCGCTCCACTCCTTAGGCAAGTACAGTGCCCTTAACTTTGAAGGATGGATAGGGGCTGCCAAAGATCAACTCCGACATGCTCCAACAGGGGTAAGACTATGGGGGACTAAGTCTGACGTAGAAAGTAATGCAAAGACTGTCGGAAGACAGAGGTAGAGGTCAGCAAGACTAGTCTCAAGGTTGGACTAGACAAGGAGTAAGACTTTAAGTCAAGTTGGAGGTGGTTAGGATAGGTTCAAGTCTATATTCATATTGTAGAAACACTACCGGAATACATAGGATTTATATACTATGGAAATACCGGGCTATGTGGCACAGTGTAGTGGAGTACAAAGTAATAACTAAAGGTATAATGTACCATAGTGTACAACAGGTTAGATTGGAATGGAGAGTCAGATCATACAAGGTACCAGGACCAGATGGAAAGCGGAATGTACAAAGGGAACTTAGAATGGACAGATGTGTACCTCGTACCTTAATTGAATCAGGGGCGGAGGAATGTACCTGACATTGGAGATACATACTCAGAGGCAGAGAAGCATGGACAAGGGCAGAGGACTATGAATAAAGGCAGAAGACACCGACTGAGGGTGGAGGAGACTTGTGTGGATCGTGGATATGACAGTGTGCCATGATCAAGCATTTGCTGCTCAATAGCACATGGAGAGACCAGAGGGGGGTCCAAAAATTCAAAAATTGGTGGGACAAGAGGTGCTGGGATTAGATTTGTGCATGGTTGTTAGGTACCGTGCCGGCTCAAGAGGCAGAGGGGTTGGGGCTTGGCTTCAGCTCTTGCGCTGCGCCCTTAGCCAAGTACGTGCCCCGAATTTGGAGCGGGTCTGATGTTGTCCGATGATAGGACGAGTGGACCACTTTGGTCCGCTTTGAGGGTTGGGAAGTAAGAGCTACTAGCGGCGGGCCGACTAGGAGCGGAGCGGAGAAGGCGGGGAGTGATGCGGAGGGTGGATAGGAATAGGGGGAAGGTTTGGTAGGAGCGGAGAAGGTGGAGGACTAAGAGGGACACTTAGAGCACAGCTCTAAGTCGGAGTGGAGGGTCGGAGAGTTGGAGGTGACAACAAGTTAAGACTTGTGTCCAGAGGAGGCAAGGTCCTACTGAGAATTCTCACAAGAGGTAACTGCGAGAAGACAAGTAATATTAAGACTGAGGAAAATATCTAAGTACATGATATGTTATATACTACTATGTATGAGGCAGTGACCAGGATAACTATGTTGTAAAGCTATGTACCAAGGATATAATTTTTTTTTGTTTCCAATTTTTGTCCATTGAGAGTGATACTCTATGTAGGACACTACTATCTAGTCATGGAGCCCTGTGCTCCGCTCCTTTGTCACATCCCCAAATGCACTGGTGTAAGGCATACCCCACCAGTCCGCTATTCCTGCCGGCCGTTTTAGATGGGCGATGCATAAGACTAGGGAGCGACTGTGTAAAAGATTATGTGGTGAGAGGTCTAATGTGAAAACTATAACGCATGCTCGGCCGCTTGCGCGGACCAAACAGAGATCAATGAGGTACGCAGTAAAAATATAGTAGGTGTAGTCCTTGGGACATGAAAGCGGCAGTGTGCTTCCGGGCTGGGTGGAGAGGTTGGCGGGCATCCAGCGTGTCGGTGAGGAGTGTTTCTACTTGTTACTGACTTAATTCCCAGGGCTGAGCTGGAGATCTCGTGTGTATGAGCGGTATTAAGTGATTAGTCGGGGCTAGGGTACCGAATAGGAGGAGAGATTAGCATATTTTGAATAAGGTACAGCAGGACGTAGTCTTGATTGCTGTTAGGTACTGTGCCAGCTCAAGAGGCAGAGGGGTCGGGGCTTGGCTTCAGCTCTTGCGCTGCGCCCTTAGCCAAGTACATGCCCTGAATTTGGAGTGGGTCTGACGTTGTCCGACTGGTAGGATGAATGGTCTGCTTTGGTCCGCTTTGAGGGTCGGGGGGTAAGAGCTGCTAGTGGCGGGCCGACTAGGAGTGGAGTGGAGAAGATGGGGGTTGATGTGGAGGGTGGATAGGAGCAGGGGGAATGTTTGGCAGAGGCGGAGAAGGCGGAGGATGATGCAGAGGGACAAGGGAGAATATTGGATAGGGGCGGAGTATATGGAAAAGACTTAGAGCACGGCTCTAAGTCGGAGCAGGGGATCGGAGGGTTGGAGGTGACAACAAGTTGAGACTTGTGTCCAGAGGGGCAAGGTCCTACTGAGAATTCTCACAAGATGTAACTGCAAGAAGACAAGTAATATTAAGACTAAGGAAAAATATCTAAGTACAGGATTTGTTATATACTTCTATGTGAGGCAGTGATCAGGATAACTATGTAGTAAAGCTATGTACCAAGGATATAGTTTGTAAGTACTTTACATAGGTGAAGACATAAGTCGGAGTGGATATCAATATGTACACGTCAGATCAGTGATCGGGCGGTAATAGGAATTATCAGTGATCCGGGAGTAAGAGTCTATGTACCAAAGGGGAAAGTATATGTCTAAAAGGGGAAAGGGATCCAGTTGAATGGAGAGGTTTATGGAAGGGGACCGGTTGAGCGGTTGAGCAGGAAGCATAGGGCGGAATGTGGGGTTGTGATAGGACAGGAGCGGAGGGGGTTGGAAATCGGAGCGGATATCAGTATCGGGGCGGTTGGATCTGGTATATGACAATTGTGTTCTATTTGTGTCTTGCTCGCGTTGGGAGGGAATCTGGGCAGGGGGTGTCAGGCTGTTCGTGTGGTGGGCATCAGAATTTCACCTAGCGTGGACTTCAAGCGGCCAGTCTTGTTGACATATCTAACTAGGTGGGGGATGGCATCGAGGTCGGATAATAGGTGCGATAGGGAGGTGGACTTCCGTCCCATTGCCTGAGCTAGCACATGGCGCTCTGGCCGAAATCGCGGGCATACAAACAGATAATGATGGACAGGTTTCTTTGGTTTGCGGGCAGTGGGGGCAATCTGGTGAAGCTACTTTGTGAGTCGGAATAGGTGCTGGTTCAATGCTAGGTGATGGGTGTGCAATCCGATAATGAGACCGGTGAGGCGTTTTGAGAAGGAGAATGTGAGTTTGATGAAGGAGCGTTTGAGGATAAGAGGGTCTATGTGCTGTAGGCGTTGATAACGGGGGGAGGTGGACCACTGCCTGGCCCATCTGGCGCGGGTATGTACCCTATGAGCTTGCTTGATTGCTGATATGCTAAGCGGTAGTGAATTATCATGGAGGTAACGAGGGAGACGCGCACGGGGACTACTTTGATGCCTCCCTTCTGCTGCTATTTTGGCTGCCTTGTCAGCTTCCTCATTTCCGTGAACCCCCTCGTGACCAGGGACCCAACGGAGCGTGGCGTTGAAGTCTGGATTAACGTGTTTGACTCTGTCCATCATTCTCTGAAACTTGGTCGCTAAATAGGAGCCTGGATTGGAGTAGAAACTCTCACCGGATAAGATGGCGGCTTGGTTGTCGACTGATATAGACATTGAGAAGATGAGATCTTGTTCAGTGGCAATGAGCTTGGCCGCTAAGGTGAGACCGACCATCTCCGCTTCGAATACGGTGTGCTCCTCGTCTGTTCCCAGGTAGTAGTGGAGGGTGCAGGGATGCTGACCTGCATGAAACAATATTGCTGCTGCTCCGATGTTGCCATCATGTCCTGAGCTGTCGCTGTAGACTTGGATGCTGTCCTGTAAGGGATATAATTTGTAAGTACTTACACAGGTGAAGACACAAGTCGGAGTGGATATCAATATGTACGCGTCGGATCAGTGATCAAGCGGTAGTAGGAATTACCGGTGATCCGGAAGTAAGGGTCTATGTACCGAAAGGGAAAGCATATATCTAAAAGGGGAAAGAGGTCCAGTTGAATGGAGATGTTATGGAAGGGGACCGGTTGAGTGGAAGCGTAGGGCGGAATGTGGACGGAGTGGAGGATGGATGGAGCGGAGGGGGTCGGAAAGCGGAGCGGATATCAATATCGGAGCGGTCAGATCAGGTATATGACAGTGGTACAGGTTCCAGATGAGTTGTCTTCAAGTTGTAGGGTATGATACATCCAGAGTGGATAGTACTCTGTGAAGTTCTGTGAAGATCAGTGCAATCATGAGTGCATCTGGTTCCCACAGGTATAATTGTGCTGTTGCAACCATAAGACTTGTAGTAGCATCTTGCTGTGGGGGCCATGGTTTTTGCTTGACGAGTACATAAATAAAACACATTAAGCATATGTCAAACACAAAGGTTATGACTTTGCAGTCACATGACATACTGGTGTTCAAGCTTAAGTTGCAACTGGTATATAATCATTCACATATATACAACATCTAGTATTTAGTAGTATGGGACTTGTGCAAAATGAGAGGACTGCCTAGGCATTTGACACCAGTGCTTGTAAGATAGACCGCAGTCATACTTCACTTGATCATGTGATCAGATTGTGACAATTTTGTGACAAAAGTGCCAGAATCACATCTCAACCTTCAAATTGTCTTTGTTCGCCAAATTAAAACCAAGGAAAGTTGACTGAAGTACATCCCCAGAGGACCTAGGTTTCAGAATTGAAATACAGCTTAAACTGGGAGTAGAGATAGCTTTTTTGTACTCGGAACATGATGCATTGTGCTTTGTCAGCTACTTAATGATCCACTTCAGCAACCAACAATGGAACTACACTACCTCTCTGCTATGTGTCATATACCTGATCCAACTGCTCTAATATCAATATCTGCTCCGCTCTCCGATCACCTCCGCTCCACCCATCCTCCACTCCATCCGATCATCATCTGCACCTGCTCCTATGTTTCCGCTCAACCGCTCAACCAGTCCCCTTCCATAACCTCTCCATTCAACTGGACCTCTTTCCCCTTTTAGATATATACTTTCCCCTTTGGTACATAGACCCTTACTTCCGGATTACCAGTAATTCCTATTACTGTTAGGTACCGTGCCGGCTCAAGAGGCAGAGGGGTCGGGGCTTGGCTTCAGCTCTTGTGCTGCGCCCTTAGCCAAGTACGTGCCCCGAATTTGGAGCGGGTCTGACGTTGTCCGACGGTAGGACGAATGGTCTGCTTTGGTCCGCTTGAGGGTCGGGAAGTAAGAGCTGCTAGCAGTGGGCTGACTAGGAGCGGAGCGGAGAAGATGGGGGTTGATGCGGAGGGTGGATAGGAGCAGTGGGAATGTTTGGCAGAGGCAGAGAAGGCGGGGGATGATGCAGAGGGACAAGGGAGAATATTGGATAGGGGTGGAGTATATGGAAAAGACTTAGAGCTCGGCTCTAAGTTGGAGCGGGGGATTGGAGGGTTGGAGGTGACAACGAGTTGAGACTTGTGTCCAGAGGAGGCAAGGTCCTACTGAGAATTCTCACAAGGTGTAACTGCAAGAAGACAAGTAATATTAAGACTAAGGAAAAATATCTAAGTACATGATATGTTATATACTTCTATGTATGAGGCAGTGACCAGGATAACTATGTAGTAAAGCTATGTACCAAGGATATCATTTGTAAGTACTTTACATAGGAAAGACATAAGTCGGGGCGGATATCAATATGTACATGTTGGATCAGTGATCAAGCGGTAATAGGAATTACCAGTGATCCGGAAGTAATGGTCTAAGTACCGAAAAGGAAAGCATATATCTAAAAGGGGAAAGAGGTCCAGTTGAATGGAGATGTTATGGAAGGGGACCGGTTGAGCGGTCAAGCGGAGCGGATACAAATGATGATCGGGCGGAGCAGAGGATGAATGGAGTGGAGGGGGTCGGAAAGCGGAGCGGATATTGATATTAGGGCGGTCGGATCAGGTATATGACAATTACCGCCCGATCGCTGATCCAACGCGTACATATTGATATCTGCTCCAACTTATGTCTTCGCCTGTGTAAAGTACTTACAAACTATATCCTTGGTACATAGCTTTACAACATAGTTATCCTGGTCACTGCCTCATGCATAGTAGTATATAACATATCATGTACTTAGATATTTTCCTCAGTCTTAATATTACTTGTCTTCTCGCAGTTACATCTTGTGAGAATTCTCAGTAGGACCTTGCCTCCTCTGGACACAAGTCTCAACTTGTTGTCACCTCCGACCCTCCGACCCTCCGACCCTCCGCTCCGACTTAGAGCCATGCTCTAAGTCTTCCCTTATACTACTCCGCCCCTATCAAATATCTCCCTTGTCCCTCTGCATTATCCGCCCGCCTTCCCCCCCGGACCAAACATTCCCCCTGCTCCTATCCACCCTCCGCATCACTCCCTGCCTCTCCGCTCCGCTCCTAGTCGGTCTGCCACTAGTAGCTCTTACTCCCTGACCCTCAAAAGCGGACCAAAAGCGGACCACTCGTCCTACCATTGGACAATGTCGGGACCCTCTCCAAATTTGGGGCATGTACTCGGCTAAGGGCACAGCGCAAGAGCTGAAGCCAAGCCCCGATGTCAGATTCCTAACGATTTTTCGTTTCTCGGTTTCTGTTACTTCCTGAGCCGTGTGTATAGCCCCGTTACTATTGTTCCCCTACTCCACGGGCTAGAACAATCTCGATTCCCAAAGAAACCGGTCGGAACTTGGGTTTCTGTTTAGTTGCCGTCTTACTCATCTGCTTATATATCATGATGTCATGCTCAGTCATCCGCAGCATCGTCGACTCTTTTCTCATTGGCTGATTTCTTTCAGACTCCTACTTAATGTTATGTATAAGAATAGGGTAGTTAGCGTAGGTGCTCTTTAGACTTAACCTCTTCGTTTCTACTGTTGTAGTAACCTAGACGTTCAACGCTCAATCCAACCCTGTTACTCATCGTCGTCTCTGACCGAGTCCTAGTGGTCGTGAACTCTCCTTCAACATTATTGTTGGACGTGGGTCATAACACCCGACCCCTCTGCTCCTGAGTTGGCACGGTACCTAACACTATGCCAAAACGGAAAATGTTCAATGTTGCAAACCTTGAAAGTTGGGAAAAGTCACTCAGTCACTCAGGAGACAAAGAAAATGTAAGAAAACTTATAATTTAAAGTAGCCTACAGAAATACTAACACAATGGCCACAGGAAGTCCCAATGACAATCAATGTGTCCAAGTCTACTCTGTCCAGTCTGAAGAAGAAAAAGAAGAGGAGAGTAACAGCTACTACAGTATTGGATCCTCCTCCCTTTGTGCTACCAATAATAGAGCCATCTCCACTTTGCGAGTCCGAGCCTGAGCATCCGAGTCAATGTGTCATGGAAGAAGCTTCTCCCCCAGATCCAAACATAAATATGGCTAGTGCCAAGATAGATACTGTAACAGGGTTCTACAAGCCCTCACCCACTGTCAAGGAGGCACACTTAGCCTTCAATGACATCAAGAGGATTCTTAGGCCACCAAAGAAGACTGCTGGCTACCATGACCCTGAGCTTGACTTGGTCTTTTGTTGCTGACTCAAAGGAATGAAGCAATTCTTGTGGGCCTATGTTGACCGTCAGTCTTCAGCATATGGAAAGTGGACAATGGCATCATTATTTACTGCAAAGGCTCTAGAACAGAAGCCCACACACTCATGAGTACTGTCACGAATCCCCAATACAAATCATTTTTCATTTCTCAGTTTCCCTCCAGTTACTTCTCGTTCCTGAACTGGTCACGTGACTTCGCTTCCTGTCACAGTTTCACCTCTTCACATATCACCTGCTGTATCTCCAATTGGCTCCCCTACTCCATGGGCTAGAATGATCTCTCTTCCTATTTGATTAATCTCCGTTTATGATCTCATCGCTTATATATCACGACATTGTGCTATGTCATCCGCAGTATCATACAACTCTTTTCTCATTGGCTGATTTCTTTCATACTCAGATATCTTCTATTCAATCTTATGTATATAAGTAGGTTAGTTAGCATAAGTACTCCTTAAACTTACAGCTGATTCCATAACTATGCGGAATCGAAAATCAAAACTTGTGCATCGGAAACACCTAGACAAGGACCCTGTAAGCACCTGAGTGAGAGAATTCGCAGTGCTTGATCACAACAACTGTGTCATTCAATGCTACCACGCACCGTTTCAGATGATTTGAAAGCTCAAATCCCTGTTCTATATCGACGTGGGTACTCCATCAAGTATATCTGCCATCTACTTGGAGTCAAAAAGACTCTTGTATACAAAGTTTTACAGCTCTTTCCCTCGCAGCATATCCATAGCAAGAATACAGGCCGGCATCACATTCTCACCATTGATGATATCACTTTCATCACTGCCATCCTTTGTCACCATCCTACAATGTATCTCGACGAATTACAGCATGAATTACACTCTCACTGCAGTGTGTTTGTGTCTGTGCAAACACTTCTTCGCACATTTTGGCGGCTACATCTCAATTGCAAACACATCTCCACTTATGCTCTTGAACGGAACGAGGAAAAATGTGCTATTTTTATGAATAGTATTGCTGAAATTGTGCCCGACCCTGAAATGCTGATGTTCGGTGACGAGGCTGCGAAAGATGAGAGAACCCTCATTCAATGCTATGGCAGGTCGAGAATTGGTACAAGGTATGTCAAATTTTGCTTTGATTGACATGTAATAACTAGTTCGTGTCAGATGCATCCAAAGGAAGTGCTTCATGCGAGGCAAACACTACTCGATCCTCCCAATCCTGACTCTTGATGGAATCATTGCTTATGATATCATCGAGGGACCAGTGACAAGTGAGCGATTTTCACAATTCTTATGTGAGCATGTGGTAGGTTTTGTGAATGTGACGAAGATCAGAAGTTGACTGGTTTTTTACAGCTGCCTTTAACCAACCTGTATCCAGGGCCATGCAGTGTACTAGTTTTAGACAATTGCTGCATTCATCACACTGACAAGGTCCATTGTCTTGTCGAGGAAGAAGCCTTATGCAAGCTTGTATTTCTGCCTCCATATTCACCTGATTACAACCCTATTGAGCAAGCTTTTTCTTCTATCAAAGCATACTTACGATGACATTTTGATGACAAGTCTTTGATGAGTATGGTACGAGCATGCCAAGGCATCACCCCTGACAAGGCAGAAGGTTATTTTCATGCTTCAGGGTACATTGCTTAGTTATTCTACCAAGTCCTAGCACTAGTTCTAAATAAAGGGATCTTCTGCATCTGCATGATCACCCTCTGATTCAAAAGTGAATCCAGGAGGAAAGATAACCCAACTTTGCCTATTTTCGCAGAAGTAGTAAAGGTCATAGTCGAGATCCGGGCATTCCACTAATTACACATCAGCATACACAATAAATTAGGATATAGCTACTCACTTGGTGGACACTCATCAGGTTTCATACAACTTCCACTAATCTGTGCTCTTCCCCCATCATGGTATCTCCTCTTGTACTGGAATTTCTTGTACTTGGGAATGTTCGACTCAGTTGTGTCGCTCCATTGATGCTTTGTGCTTGTTAAGGTCGTGCTCAAGGGGGAGGTTACTCAAAGGGCTTCGGCTTCAGCTTGTGCGCTGTGCCCCTTACCTGAGTACGTGCCCTTAATTTCTGGTGGGCAGAGGGGAAGTCCAATGGAAGTCTGAGGAGTTCTGGAGGACAAATGTCAGTGGAGTTCGGCGGAACTCCAGAAGACTATGTGGGGACGGAGTAAGGCTACTATGGAAATCCGGAGTAGAAACAGGACAAAGGTTAGACTACCCTAAGGTAGAGCCAGAGGATTAGTCCTAAGGTTTAACCCCTAAGACTCGGAGGTGGACAAGAGGTGAGACTCAAGTCCGGAGATTGCAGGAATGAGCAGAACTAAGATGATATTCGAACTAAGGAGTTCCAGAGTATTACAGGGGTTTATATACTGTAGGTATCATATAAGTAAATCAGTCAGCAAAGGTAAGGGCTATGTACAAAACATGTGGAAAGTCTATTACTAAGTGTAATGGATCAAAGCAGTGAAGTCGGAAATGAAGTAAGAATGGACGGATCAGTAAGCATAGCGGAATAGGACATAACCGGTAACCGGAGCAATAGCTAATCTAAAAGGAGTTAGGGGTGAGTGTGGAGATGAAGGTGGAGCGCCGGGCAGAATAGCAAGACAGAGGACCAGACTTTAATGAAGTAGATCCGGAGGTACGGGATATGACAGTGCTACTCTTTGCAAGAGGGCCATTCCACCATATAACACTTCCTTTCTTCAGTCAAATAATGTCACCTGCACTGAGACCAGCTCAAGCGAGATCTTGGTCAGCCATGTCTGTGAGTATATCTGGACCTGCACCAATACCATGCAGGGAGGGTTCATATGTGGAGGCAAATGCAACACCAAGGTGATCCTCAGCATACTTCAAAAAACAAGTGAGTGTTGAGGGTGTTGGAGCAACAGGTGATGTGATGGGGAGTGAAGTTGCAGTTCGGACCAGAAGTGGTGTCAAAGGAGTAGCCTCATGTGTGAGATCTTGTACAGTTCGCAACAAGAGCATAGATGTGAGTGAACTGATGTCAGTTGTGCTGACTGATGTAGCTGTAGGTGTCGCAGCAGCAGCCATGGAACAACACATAGGGTGCAAAGGAGCCTCACGCTTCATAGGGTCAAATGATGGAATATTGGGTGGTACCATGGTGGTAGCCTCTCCGTCGTACTTGATTGTTCGTATTTCGTACTAAGTACATATAGCCATTACACAGTGTCAATGAGAAACATACCATTCCATGAGCCCAGTCCTTGATCATTGCTGGTGTACATGGGATCTCCATGTCACTTTGGTGGATATACGTGACAGAATTGTCATACTTGTTACCCCATTTCTTGATGATAAGCCTGCAAAAACGAGCAATTTCATGGTCGAGCTCAGTAGCATTGTCAGTGACTGCAATCTCATCATCATCTGATGCTCCACTGTCTTGGCTTGCAGTATCACCTGTTGTCTGTCCTCGTCAGCTACAACAAGCACACAACCAAGTCTTGCAGCAATTTGCCTCATTTCAAGTAGAAACTGGAAGTTTCTCCACATTTTTCATGTCGATGAATACTTTTACCTTTCGAGGTTCCTTGGAGATGAGCTTCTTTGCCATTTCCGCATAATCTGCTTCGTTGTCGACATCCATGGCTTCAGCACGGCTATAAAAAACCATTGTGAGAGAAGTTCAACTCCCATGATGACACAAAGATCACTTGCCCCCGAGAATTGCCAAGGTAGTACTTAAAACTATATTTCTTCCTCTCAGTAACCCTATGGTGTGATTTGTCGTGTTTTGCGAGAATTGTAGTCAAAAATTTGATGTAGTTGTGCTTGGAGATTTGAAAGACAAGCTCCTTGACTTTGGTAGATTTCACTTCCTTGGCTTTTGCTTTGCCATTGCTTTCAGTAGTAGTCTTGGTGTATGTATCCAGGTGAATAATGAATGTAGCCTTGAATTCAGGCATCTCTGGGGAATCCGATGGGGACAACATTGTCTTTCAGTGAGTCACAGATGTACACTATAGCACTACTACCCCAGGTGCTTACGGGGTCCTTGTCCAGGTGCTTCCGATGCACAAGTTTTGATTTTCGATTCTGCATAGTTATGGAATCAGCTGTAACCTCTTCATTCTCTACACTTGTAGTAGACTTAGACATTCATGCTCAATCCTATCCTTGCTTTTATCATCAACTGTGACTGAGTCCTAGTGGTTGTGTGCTTGCCTTTACCATTCAGTGAACATTGGTCATAATAAGTACTCCATGAACAAGTACATGCCTTCATTGCAGATTGTGAGGACCTCCCATTTAATATCTATGGGACATGAAATGAGTCATTACTTGACAAAGGTGAGGACCTCACACAAGAAATACACATGCATCTGCAAGGAATTGGAAAGTATGTGAAGGCTGTAGACCTTGTTGACTTCCTCGATACACCAGAAATGCAAAAGCGAAGCGAACTCACAAAGTGAATTCATCTTGCAACTGCACAGCGATGGATGAAAAAGCTTGAGTACCACTGGACAAAAGGCCCAAAAGGTCAATTTGTTGATGGTCATGAAAGAGATGATGTTGTGGCTTACTGGCAGCAAATGTTCTTGCCTGCATGGGCAGTAATCAAGGAGAAGACTCAAGATTGGTCTTGTCACGAGAGAGATGGAGATTACCCTCATCCATTGCTACAGGAACAGAAGACAGTTGTATGGTGGCATGACGAGTCCATGTTCTATGCAAATGATCATCGCAAAACATGATGGGCCCATAAAAGTGAAACAGCTGTGCCCTATGTGAAGGGGGAGGGACCATCACAGATGGTTGCAGATCTTGTTTCCACTGATTATGGGTGGTTGCAGTCACCTGATGGAGAAGAGGAGGCTCATGTCTTCTTCAAAGCAGGAAAAAATCGTGAAGGGTACTTCACAAACCAGGACATTCTCGAGCAAGCTGGAAGATCAATGGATATTCTAGAGAAGTACTACAGCAACAAAAACCACGTCCTTGTGTTTGACAATGCAACAACTCACTTAAAATGTGCAGATGGAGCTCTCTCTGCAAGAAATATGCCAAAGGGAACATCAAAGGCAGAAACCAATTGGGGCATGGAGGTTAATATTCAAGATGCAGCTGGCAAACAAGTTTATGGTGTGGACGGCAAGCTGTTGAAAGGAAAAATTCAAATGGGTGATGCAACATTCGCAGACAGATCAAAACAGTCACTCTATTTCAGTGAAGATGCTAGACCCAAAGTGGGTCTCTTCAAAGGGATGGCTGTAATCTTGCACGAGCGAGGCCTTACTCAGGAATCGAAGCTGCAGGCACAGTGCAAGGACTTCAAGTGTGTGAAGGGAGCAACACATTGCTGTTGTCATCAGGTGCTATACAATCAGCCAGATTTTGTTGCTGTCGAGTCAAATCTAGAAAGGATATGCAAAGTGAGAGGATTTTCAGTGTTATTCCTTCCAAAGTTTCATTGTGAACTTAACTTCATTGAACAGTGCTGGGGATATGCAAAAAGAATTTATCATCAATATCCCACATCATTGAAAGAAGAAGATCTTGAACAGGATGTTCTTTTGGCTCTCGAATCAGTGCCACTTGATAGTATGTGCCAGTGTGTTAATTGTTGAAATATTACATTCAAATTTTCACACCACTCAGGTTTTCAACATGAGCCTGCTGGTTCATGGATGCATACCGCAAAGGACTGAATGGGAAGCAAGCTGTGTGGGCTTCGAAAAAGTACAAAGGCCACCGAGTACTGCCAGATAGTATTTTGCACCACCTCGACGGAGCTCATGTATAGCATGACTGTCAATAGTACAATATAACATAGTGTCACAGTTGAGTCACTGCCAAAGTCACACCACATGATCAAGCAAGGTATAACTGCGGTCTATCTTATTTATGATGGTCTGAATAAAAAATTAACAGCCAGAAAGTAGCAAGGTGTCATGAATTACCTCTCAATTTACCTAACTTTTCCTCGGTTACTTCTATTCAAGACCCGGTCACATGACTCTGTCACCTTTCACATCTTCATATGTCACTCCTTCACTTGTTCACATATCACCTCTTCATCCCTACACAAGCGTCAACCTGTCACAAAGGCACCTGAACCCTATATTTCACATATACCCTGGTACATCACAAATCACATCTCAAACCTTATCTTCAACAGTAGCTCTCCTTTCACATCATCAATTCCATCTCCAATCAATGTACTGATCATCCATTCCCAAATCTCACTTCTAATGATCTTAGATAGATCTTCTAGTTAATCTCCATCTCTTCCATTCCATTTCCAGATACAGAACTTCTATTCATCTCTGTCAAACCCTAGATAGAAGCAGTACCCTAAGACCCTGCTTACTCACCACTATCCTCCATCTTCTATCACAAAACCCTATACTCTGATTAATTCCTGTTGCTTCTCTTGCAAACATCATCCTATGCAGTCATTGTATGATTCCCTTTTCTCTTTTATGATTGGTTGATTACTTGCAGACTCAGATATCTCCACTTCAATGTTATGTATATAAGTAGTCAGTAGTACACCTAGTTTTCCTCGGACTTAACCTCTTCATTACTACCTTGTTTAGGGCTTAGATGTTCCTAACTCTCAATCCCATATCTTTTATCTATCATCCTTGATGAGTTCTAGTGTGATCTCTGGTCTTTGCTTTAACTTCGGTTATTGTGAACATTAGTCATAACACAAGGTACAGTAACAAACCTTGTCCACCACATCAGGAGCTCCTTGCTCTACTTCAGACTTGAGCTCTGTGACACTATCATCTGGAGCAGGAAGGTCAGCTATGTGAGTTGTGGGAGGACAGAAAACAATGTTACCAATGGGTTTTATTGGTACAGATGGTTTCACAGGAGAGTTGTCAATTCCCAGACCAATAAATGTTTGCAGGTGTTGGGGAAGCACTAGAAACATATCAGCACATACTTTTTCCTTGGGTGTGTCGGGAGATTTCATGGTCATGCAAGTGGATGGTATGATTTCAATTGTCTAGTAACATGAGACACCAATTTTTTGATGGTAAGTAAAAAAAAACATATCAGGGGGCTGGGTATGTCTGGAATAAATGTGACATGTATCGTTTCTGGGTACTTGAGAGGTAGTTCAAGGCATATGGTGTTGTCTTCAAACATGAGCATCAGATTCAGATGTAAAGTAGGTGTTAGGTACCGTGCCAGCTCAGGAAGCGGAGGGGTTGGGGCTTGGCTTCAGCTCTTGCGCTGTGCCCTTAGCTGAGTACGTGCCCCGAATTTGGAGCAGGTCCAACGTTGTCCAACGATAGGACGAGTGGACCGCTTAGGTCCGCTTTGAGGGTTGGGAGGTAAGTGCTACTAGCGGCAGGCTGACTAGGAGTGGAGCAGAGAAGGCAGAGGATAATGCAGAAGGGGGAAAGGAGCAGGGGGAATACTTGATAGAGGCGGAGAGGTAAGGAGAAGACTTAGAGTGCGGCTCTAAGTTGGAGTGGAGGGTCAGAGGTGACAACAAGGTGAAACTTGTGTCCGGAGGAGGCAAGGTCCTACTGAGAATCCTCACAAGTAGAAACTGCGAGAAGACAAGTAATATTAAGACTGGGGAAAATATCTAAGTACAGGATATGTTATATACTTCTAAGTATGAGGCAGTGGTCAGGATAACTGTGTTGTAAAGCTATGTACCAAGGATATAATTTGTAAGTATTTACACAGGCGAAGACATAAGTCGGAGCGGATATCAGTATGTACGCGTCGGATCAGTGATTGAGTGGTAAGGAGAATTACCGGTGATCTGGAAGTAAGGGTCTATGTACCGAAGGGGAAAGTATATATCTAAAAGGGGAAAGAGGTTCCAGTTGAATGGAGACATTATGGAAGGGGACCGGTTGGGCAGTCAAGCGGAAGCGTAGGGGCGGATGCGGACGATGATTGGACAGAGTGGAGGATGGATGGAGCAGAGGTGGTCGGAAGGCGGAGCGGATATTAATATTGGAGTGGTCGGATCAGGTGTATGACAGTAGGTAGTAAAGGACTTAGTGAATTTGTGGTGATTTGACCTTTTGGGCTATCTCAATGTTAGGATACATCTTTCAAGAATGCCTGTACCATGGTTAGTGTCTGGTTTAGAATACTGCTTGGATGTGTATGGTTTGGTGGTGAGAACATGTGTCTACAGTCTAGTTTGGGTCTGTTTACACCATGTCATTTCTAAACATGGGTCTGTTTTTCTACAAAGTCAAACAGCTGCAACCTCCAAATTACTTAAGTCTGGTTTGTGTACAGATATATTACAAGGCACAGTTTGTGTCTGGATACACAACCCATCCATATCCAGATAAGGATAAAGGCCTACTGTGTACAGTTGGCCATCACTAAGGTTCCAACTCAGATGGGTCTCCCTGCCCACATGTTACTCTCTAACTGACCCCAATGGTATCATAGGTGATGCATTGTGTAATGACTCAAGTCACACTTCCTGTTTGACCTTCAATTTAGGCAAAACCATCAATATTCCTCCATGTAGAATCCTTACATGGTATGATCAAGTCATTATCATCAATCCTCAAAGAAGAGTCTCCACTTTGAATGTCATGACCATGTCACATGTAATAGCTGAGTATAGTGATGTGCTGGCCTGGCTTGAGGCAGCTTTGGCTTTCAAAAAATCCCAGGCCAGACCATCAGCCAAAGCCACAGCTTGGCTTTGGCCTGAGCATGGCTCATAGCAGTGGAAAGTTGACAAATATATTTGGGAACTACTCTAGGCTAGCAATCTGACATTTCAGATACAGATATATCATCATCGCTGTCATTATCATTGTCATCCACAACTAATGTGTCTGTTATGACCTGAGTTCACCAAATGGTAAAGTCAGACAACAACCACTAGGACTCGGTCGCAGATGATGATGGGAACAAGATAGATTGAGCGTGAACGTCTAGGTCTACTACAACTGTAGAGAACGAAGAGGTTAAGTCTAAGGAGTACTTATGCTAACTAACCTACTGTTATACATAACATTGAATAGGAGTTATCTGAGTATGAAAGAAATCAGCCAATGAGAAGAGAGTCGTACAATACTGCGGATGACTGATCATGACATCATGATATATAAGCGAATGAGTAAGATGGTTACTAAATAGAAACCCAAGATCCGACTGGTTCTTCTTTAGGAAGCGAGATTGTTCTAGCCCGTGGAGTAGGGGAGCCAATCAGAGAAGCAACGGGTGATCTGTGAAGAGGTGAAGGTGTGACAGGGGATGAAGTCACATGACCAGTTTGGTAACTAGAAGTAGCCAGAGGGAAACCGAGGAATGAAAAATGGTTCGTATTTGGAATTCGTGACAGTGTCCCAACCCTCTTCATCATCTGCAACATCACTCACCTTCTCTGAAAAATCAGTGTCAGTGTCAGAGTCATTGAATTCTTCTTCCACAAGTGATGATGGCCCATCCTCACAAAACAAAAAATCATGGCATAGTGAGCCTTTAAGACTTTGGAGTGCTTCCACTATATCACCTTTGAGCTGATTCCGATGTTTACTGATTGTGATTCCACCTTGTGAAAATGCTTGTTCACTTGAGACAGATGATGTCATGATGAAGAGATAGTTGCGTGTGAGTGATGCCCACATCAGGTACCTCGGTGCATTTATTTTAAGCAACATTAACATCAGTAATGAGTTTCAGAGTAGTATATGATATACTCACACCCCACCATTGAATTGTGCTCATTCCAGCAGGTGGAATGGCCTCAATAGTCTCAAGATAGCCTAAGAACTCGGCCCTCCATGGTCTTGATGGGTCTCCAACAGATGGAATAGCAGTGTTACTTGAGTCATTGTCATCAGAGTCACTGAGGATTTCTTGGATGAACTTCTTCAGAGCACCTGCTTTACTTTTATTAGTTGTTGGCTGCAATGACAATGATGATAATGTGGCTGCATTCAACTCAGAATTATGTGCTTTGAACTGAAAAAAAAAATCAAGGTAGATGACTAACCACACCCTCGGTGCAGGAAAGAACATTGTCGTGTAGATGTTCAGGCCATTGTTTCTTGAAATATGACATTTTCGCAGTTGGATCGAGCACTGTAAGTTACAATCAAAGTTAGCACGAATCAATTCAAATGATAGATCTGCACACACACATGGCCAATACATATGCTAGAGAAACAAAAATAGATGTTAACAAATTGGGGGTTACTAACCCTGCTGACTAAGTACAAAAAGCCGCGGCCTGGGCCACCGGCTTCAGTACCTCAGGCCAGGCCAAAGCCATGGTCAGGCCGTGACCTTTGGCCCGGCTTGGCCTGGCCTGGCCTGAAGCCGGGCCATGCACATCACTAGCTGAGTACAATGGTGTCACTAATCCCTCTTGCGTGAGCGCAGCACCGACTTGACGTCACTCCGTGTAGCCGCTGGCGCTCGCCTTGCGACACCGGAGCTGATCAAATATTCCGATCACTGTTTCAATTCAGGTTTGTGTCAAAAATGCATTTATTTTTAGTTGCGAGCTAATCTGGCACATATTATTTATGCTGTCAATGCTGGTGCAGTGCCGGTGTATATACGTAATCTTGGAATGAGCACACGGGAAATGAATACTACCAGCATCTCAGTCCTGTGACAAGCTGAAGTGCCTAGCAGGTACTAGTATCGACGTCCCCAAGGCTGCTCTCTGAATCCGATGCAGTAAGGTCTCAATCGTTACCAAAAATGAAGGCACATACACACCGTTCCCAAAACCCCGCCCGGTCACTGCCTCATCTTGCGCTCTGATGATGAATGCCTACTCACGCTTTTCTTTCGCATCGCAAATATTGCAGTATGGTTTGAACGCCCGCATGAAATGTCCGCGAATTCACCGGTCCATTGAAGGTGATCATTATAATTAATACATTCCATATGTTGCCTAACACAAATGACATCGATATCGGATACACGAATAGGTCAGCGCTCGGAATTCTAGCCCGATTCCCTCGCATGGCATGTTTTGATGAGGAGTCACATCGGAATTTTTCCGAAGGTTGCTGTGCCGCGACTGGGCACTAGCACTGCTATGAAACACCTGGGGTCGTCTGGCTGTCCTGGCCGCCCTGAGTGATTGTGTCGTGTCCGAGTTATGGTTTCAAGAGGTAAATGTGGTACGCCATCATTCTTCAACGCGTCGGCAAATAGTTTCTAACTCCCAGAGCAGTACTAGTGAAATTCATGTCCGGGGCGCTGGATTCAGTGGACAACTGCGTGCGGTGTGTTGGCACGCCGTCAATAATCAATCAACAACTGCTTGGATAGGGAGGCACTGAAGGCCACCTACCACTGCAAGATAAAAGCTGCGAGATGAATGCCTCCCCTCACCATAATTCTTATCCTATATCCCACTGCTCTCTCCTGTGAGAGCATTACAATGCTGATCCCTATTATAATCACTTCTCTCGTCTTATCGATCAATGCTGCCTCTATCGTATCCCGTTCACAGTCCTACCCATTACCTCGATCCAGTGTACTCGGCCCAAAAACTACAATAACTATTGGAAATAAGGTCATCGCTCCCGATGGCTTCGAACGCTCGTGAGTCTCTCGCCAGGGCACTCAAAGCTCACGCCCTGATCTTTAACAGAGCAACTCTTGTTGATGGCATATTCCCTGGACCCTTGATTGCAGCCCAGAAGGTAAGCTTCCGTCGACCTCCTTGTTGTGCACTAGTGCTGACCTCACAATAGGGAGATGACTTTTCCATTGAGGTGGTCAACTGAGCTCACAGACGAGGCGATGTTCAAGAGTACCAGTGTCGTAAGCGACGCCGATCATCCACGTTGGTATTGATTAAAGTTGTTTTACTGCAGCACTGGCACGGTATCTTCCAGAACGGGACGAATTACGCCGATGGGACTTCCTTCGTCACACAATGCCCTATTGCCCAGAACCACTCTTTTTTGCACTCTTTCTCCGCTCCGAACCAGGCGGGCACTTACTGGTATCATAGTCATTATTCCGTCCAGCAGGAAAGTATTGCTCAAACCTTGCAAACACAGTACGTGACTGACCTGTTGAACAGTGTGATGGATTGAGGGGACCCCTGGTAATCTATGATCCTCATGACCCTTTGGCATACATGTACGACGTCGACGATGGTGAGCGAACAATTAATTCATATTAATCATCTGACCATCATGTGTTGCCAGCAAGTACCGTAATCACACTTGCCGACTGGTGAGTTTTAGGCAGCATTGGTGATCTGTCCCAACTAAATAAAGTCCCTAGGTATCACGTTGTGGCCCCCGTCTTGCGCCACATTATAGGCATCTCCACCAACATTTCGCTCATCAACGGACAGGGTCGATATGCTGGTGGACCCATGTCTGATCTTGCTGTTATCAATGTCGAGCAGGGAAAGCGATATCGTATGCGTCTGGTTGCAATGTCATGCGACCCTAACTTCCAGTTCTCCGTCGATGGCCACAACTTAACCATCATCGAAGCGGATGGAGTGCTGACCGAACCTCTGGTAGGTAGACCAGCTCCAGATTTTCGCCGGTCAACGTTACTCTGTGGTTCTTGTAGCCGACAAGCCGGTAGATAATTACTGGATACGCAGTCTTCCTAGTTCGAACCTGTCCTCAGAGGGAGGAATTAACTCTGCTATCCTGCGCTACAAAGGCGCTACAACAGCAGACCCGACCACCGTCAATACGCCGTCCACGAACTCATTGCAGGAGGCAAACTTGCATGCTCTGATCAATCCCGGTGCTCCTGGTATTCCGGAGTACGGGAAGGCAGACATCAACCTCAACCTCGCGGTTACCAACGTCGGCGGGACATTCTATGTTAATAATGTCACATACCAACCTCCCACAGTTCCTGTCCTTCTCCAAATTCTCAGTGGAGCTCAAGAGCCGTCTCAGCTGCTTCGAAACGACAGTATTATCGTTCTAGAAGCTAACAAAGTGGTAGAGTTGACATTGTCAACAACTGGGCTGGGTGGACCCGTACGTCTTTTCCCTTCCCCAGACGCCCATGTGCCTGATATACATTGTAACAGCATCCGATACATCTTCATGGGGTAAGTTCACCACGTCTACGATAGCATGTTTGGTTGGTGCTAATGATCATCATTAGCATGCTTTCGATGTCGTACAGAGCGCAGGCAATACTAGTGCCTTCAATTACGTGAACCCCGTTCGTCGTGACGTGGTAAGCGCTGGCAGCCTCGGACAACAAATGGTGATACGATGGACGACCGACAACTCTGGCCCCTGGTTTTTGCATTGGTACGATATCATTTTTATTGAGATGTCAAGAATGGTACTAACTCTGCATCAAAAGCCACATTGACTGGCACCTTGATGCGTGCGTTTATGAATGTCCGCATTAAAGAAATGGCTAATAATGTACATCTAGCGGTTTTGCTGTGGTGATGGCCGAAAGCCCCTCGGATACCCGCGCACATATTAGTCCCGTGCCAGGTAAGTCATCCTAATCAAAGAACTTCCCTGGCTGAACTACTTTACAGCTGATTGGGATCAGTTGTGTCCGATCTTCGATTCCCTATCTCCTTCCCAGTTGGGGGGTGGGGGTTTCAAATCTTATGAAGAAGCAGCTAATATTACAACTCTCCTTTTCCCAACATCGTCCATCCATTAAGTATGGCAGTGGACTTTTTAATACTTTCGTTTCTTAGAGTCACAATGTTCGTTGGACAACTGACACAGTCTATTCTGTGTGCTGTGCGGAATTTACTTGCGGACTTCTCTATTATAAGTACTTTTATAATTAGCCTTATTGTACTGACCTGATATAAGATGATATGACGATATCTATATATAAAATGCGATACGGAGTTAGCCTAGTTGACTTGTACCATGACTACGGGACCTAATAATACAACGGACTCGAACCAGTTGAATTACATAATATCTTTGCTCTCTCAAGCGCGAGAAATGCCTGAGACTGCACGACAAGAAGTGCCAATCTGTGTTTGGACTCATCTTGAGAGACACTTCAGAGCGATACTTTTGGGATAGTTCAGGGACACTCGTACACAACGGACTGGAACTAGTTGAATTAATGCCTAAGACCGCACTTATCCGAGGACAAGAAGATCGGAAGCTCACCACATTTTGCGCTCTAGGGCGCCCTCGAGACGGTCGAGCCGCATAGTAGTCGAGCATGCGAAGGGCAGTACTTCCGTTTTGAGCATGAGGCTGTCACGGTAAATTTCAAGCCTAACTCAAACCTATACTGATTACCTCCAATCATTCACATGTTCCGAGACCAACATCACCTTGGCAAGCCACTGAAAGCACAGCCTATCTGTTTCATTGCAGTTCTTCTGACAGCCAGGTACTCACTAGAGCGACTACTACTAGTGACTATTGATGATTTGACAGTGTGTGCGGCGCGTGGATTTAACATGGATCAGTGGAAACATGTTGCATATATTGATCACTTGATCCTCATATGTCGGTGGAAGTCGGTGGCCAAAGTGCTCTACAACCTTCTTGGCGCTTTATGTTCGCCCACTCTGGAGCCATCTGGAGCTTTGTCCTAAGCCGAACAAGATCAATCAATAACGCCTCCACTGATCGCTTGGCTTGTCCAAACAAGACGAATTTCGAAATCCCGGAAATGTATCGTACTAATGGGCAGGAACCTAGGGGAACGGTCTTCAGGGGGACATCTTTTCAGGGTCCGTCGGACACGCACGGTTAGCTTCGAGCAGCGAGATCGAACAATCGAGCCTGGTTCTGCTTGGTTCCAATGATTCTACCGAGTTCTGTGGCTGATTCGAATTGCTGATAGTAGATGCATTCTTGCGCGTTGCCGAGAACCGGCTGATGGCAAGCGATCGTTCCAATCTGTCGAACGATGATCATGACCAATTCTTGAACTTCCAAGTCAGAATCTGCCAGAACTTACCAACTCGAAAGTGGACCTTGCTTGGCCTCCTTTCCGAACTTGCCGCCTCGGCTTTCCGTTATTCCGATGTTGGTGTTACAGCCAAGCGTTTGACGTGGCGGGTAGTATACCGGTGCGGCATATACTACCTGTAACTGGTTGGGGTTCGGGACCTGACATGGACTATACTAGACTATACTCTTTTTACGGTCAAGTCTGTTCATTGCGGCGAAAGTTGGGATAAGAGCGGACGTCAGATAGCTATAAGAGCGACTGTAACTGGGTGAGTATTCGACATTGAGTGCTTGGCATTGGCACATATTCCCTCCCATATACTCAATATAATGCTCTTCCTTAATGCCATTTTCCTCCTATGGCTTCAGCTAGCACATGCAGCATCCATCATTTCACGATCCACTTCCTATCCACTCAACTCTCGTTCAAATACGCTAGGCCCTCAAACCAACCTAATAATTTCTAATAAAGTCATATCTCCAGACGGGTTTACGCGCTCGTGAGTTTGTGTCTGCTGTATTCTTTGCACGTTAATCATTGTTATAGTGCAACGCTCGCTGGAGGAACATTTCCAGGTCCAATTATCGCAGCCACAAAGGTTTGTTTGTCCATTTGATTGAGCCTTCAGGAGTTGACTACAGTTGAAGGGAGAGAAGTTTGCAATAAACGTTGTGAACAGACTCACTGATGGTGAAATGCTCAAAAGCACCAGTGTGGTGGGTATACATCTGTTCAGCACACATATAGAAGGTTACCCTATTCTGTTTAGCACTGGCATGGAATCAGTCAGAACAGGACTAATTATGCAGATGGAGTCTCGTTCGTCACTCAATGTCCCATTGCACAAAATCACTCCTTTTTGCACTCCTTCGAGGCTGGGAACCAGGCGGGAACCTTCTGGTATCATAGCCACTACGCGACACAACAGTGGTTTGTTCATCTAGAGTGTTTCTGAATTTGCAATAAATGACCCAAAACCGTTTAGCGATGGCCTGCGTGGGGCTTTGATTATCTATGACCCTGAAGATCCTTTATCTTATTTATATGATATTGACGATGGTATAGTGATTGATCGTCTTAGTCATGAATCCGCTCACTTCAGGCATTCACAGAGACCACCGTAATCACCCTTGCTGACTGGTACATCTCGGAACTATTTGCGACTTAAGTCCACCTCACTAATCCATCATAGGTACCATATTGTTGCCCCTGTTTTGAGCCATATGATTGGTGTCAATGGCAATTCAACTATCATCAACGGTCTTGGCCGATATCAAGGGGGACCCGAGAGCGACCTTGCAGTGGTCAACGTCGAGTATGGGAAACGATACCGCCTACGCCTTGTAGGAATGTCTTGCGATCCCAACTTTATATTCTCCATCGATAACCATAACCTGACGGTCATTGAAGCGGACGGTGAGCTGACGGAGCCCCTCCTCGTGGACTCGCTCCAGATACTCGCTGGACAACGATACTCTGTTGTGCTCAATGCGAATCAGCCAGTCAACAACTACTGGTTACGCGCACTCCCAAATACTGGAGGCTCAAATTTCAACGGCGGCCTGAACTCTGCTATTTTGCGATACACGGGTGCACCCGTTGCAGACCCAACTACAAACCAGACCAAAAGTACCATGGCATTAGTCGAGACCAACTTACATGCGCTCATCAATCCTGGTGCACCCGGGATTCCAGAGTACGGAAAGGCAGATATCAACTTGAGGATGGTCATCAATAACACAGGCGGAGTATATTCGATCAACAACGTAACGTACAAACCTCCCACGGTGCCCGTGTTGCTCCAGATCCTCAGCGGCGCACAAGATGCAACCGAACTCCTTCCGAAAGGAAGTGTTTATGTTTTAGAAGCTAACAAGGTTGTCGAACTGACGATGATAAATCTCAACATTGGTGGTCCTGTAAGTTTCACGTACATTCACTACGTTACATACATCTCATGTTATCCCCCTAGCATCCGATTCATATTCATGGTGTAAGTATTTTTGGACACAACTTGATGCTAAATTGCTCATTATCATGATAGCATAACTTTGACGTCGTGCAGAGCGCTGGAAATAACTCTTTCAACTACGTCAATCCAGTGCGCAGGGATGTAGTATCTGGAGGGTTTCAAGGCCAACAGATGGTGATTAGGTGGGTCACAGATAACTCCGGTCCGTGGTTCCTGCACTGGTGAGCACCGCAACGTTTATGGATCTAGCGCTAGCACTGATACTATCGCTCACCTAGTCACATCGACTGGCATCTCGACGCGTGCGTTTCTCGAGTTCTCTGAAGCTCTGCCGTAATCTGACTATGTTGCCAGCGGTTTTGCTGTAGTTATGGCCGAAAGTCCCTCGGAAACTCAGCAACACCTAGGCGTCATACCCAGTAACTATTCCATGTTCATCTTGTGTCCTGATTGAACTGATGGTATACGCAGATGCATGGGACAATCTTTGCCCGATATTCGACTCGTTAACCCCAGCCCAAATCGGAGCGCAGAATTCGTATCAGGAAGCACAGAATATCACCACACTGCTATTCCCTCCCTCATAGCGTTCACTGTTGTACAAATCGAAGAAATGGCGCTACCGGGACTCTTATAATATAGGCCATTTGTAACAGTACTGTAGTACTGTAGCATCAGTAATAACGTACACCACCCTTCTGTGTAATCCATACGAGCCAGTGTTTAGACTACATCCGATGTTGTGCGCATGTGAGCCACATGAAGCTATGTTCGTCTTACATGTGTCTACCCACTCGCCACAAACACTACTGGAAGCGTGCCGATTCTTGAATCGCCAGGCCCCGTGAAACCTATGTTAGTAATGTTCAGACAACGGTTAAAATAACAGGCTAGGATCCGGAGGAACGTGCCAGCCTAGGTAGTGGATCGTGGGCGCCACAGCGCTGGTCCAATTAGATCAAAGCAAGTGATGAGAAGGTGAAGAGTCGGCGAAGCCTAGTCCCCGGATCAAGAGGGACTTTGCTCACATTCCGAAATAGATACCGCCGGGGCCGCACTCGGGTAATACGATGCGACTGAGTCGGACTGCTCACCTGTCTAATTCTATCATGGTTAGAGGTCTAGAGCACGAACCCCACTCGCATCACTGAGCTCCTAGTGACGTAGCTTAATTCTGCCAGGAGACAGACTTCTCGAACTGAGAGCTTGGTGCCTGTGCTGAGTGGCTCAAATTCGGCCGAAGGGGGGTGTGAGACTAGCCTGGGATGGTCTGGTGTGAAGTATGCGGTCGATGATGGGACTTTGGGACGATCTGCCTAGGGAACGAGCGAGGCGGTGGTACTGCCTGGGAGCAGGATGTGAGGGACAAGAGAAACCGAGCCGTGATGTTCTCCGGCTATCCCAGTCTTGTTTCTCAGTGGTTAATCCCGAAGTGAATGTACTTCTGTATGAGCTCATTGAATATCGAACGTTTTTCCAAGAGGGTCCGGGTATAAGTTACATACCCGAATTAGTAGTGAACATTATGATGCGATCTTATCCACGTGCCAAAAATGGGTAATATCGGATGAGTGAAAGACTTATCGATTTCCAAGTCGTTTCACTAGTCTTCACAGCTATCTACGCCCAGATCGGTAGCTTATAAGGTACCTTTTCGCTCCAATTTATATAAAGGTTTTGACATCCTCCCCGGTTTGTTCCAGATCCACCATCATCGCTCTCTCTCGCAGATTTATCATGGGTGTCCTCGATATCGTTCCCGTCAGTACAAGTTGATCATCGGTGAAGCTGATCCACTGACATCCACGCAGGCTGGCGTCCTAACTGGGGACAACGTTCGCAAACTGTTTGACTACGCAAAAGCGAACAAGGTACATACGCTCGATTCATCTCCTATTACCTGACTGAACAGCCTTGCGTTTCAACCTCAACAGTTTGCCATTCCTGTGAGTGCTTTACCTATTGAAATTTATAATATTGTTAAGACAATGTTCTCTTAACAAGGCCATCGTGAGTGATGAATAGTTCACAGTCTCATCGAGTTTTGACTTAACGCCGTCAGAATGTCACTTCCTCATCCACCGCTAACGCCGTCCTGGAAGCCGCAAGGTCAGCACAAGAGTTGTAGTCATCCACGAAATGCTCACTTCTAGCTCCGCAGGGACATCAAGGCTCCGATCATCCTCCAGGTCTCTCAGGGTGGAAGTGCATACTACGCCGGCAAAGGTCTTGCAAACGACAACCAACAAGCTTCCATCCTAGGAGCTGTCGCCGCTGCCCACCACATTCGCACAGTTGCAAAGGCGTACGGCGTGTAAGTCCGATATTTGCCTAATATCGCAATGTTATTCTGAATCGCGTGAAAATATAGGCCCGTCGTTCTTCACAGCGACCACTGTGCTCACAAGCTCCTGCCATGGTTCGATGGCATGCTTGCTGCCGATGAGGCTTACTACAAGGAGCACCAAGAGCCCCTTTTCTCTTCGCACATGCTTGACCTGTCTGAGGAGCCAAAAGAGGAAAACATCGCAACTTGCGTGAAGTACTTCAAGCGCATGGCACCTCTTGGTATCTGGCTAGAGATGGAAATCGGTATCACCGGTGGTGAAGAAGATGGTGTTGACAACACTGGCGTCGACAACGCATCCCTCTACACGCAACCCGAGGACATCTACGATGTCCACGCTGCTTTGAGTGCCATCAGCCCCAACTTCAGCATTGCTGCTGCGTTCGGCAACGTCCATGGTGTCTACAAGCCCGGAAACGTCAAACTCCAGCCTGAATTGCTTGGCAAGCACCAAGCTTACACCAGTCAAAAACTCGGTGGCAAGTCCGATAAGCCTCTCTACCTCGTGTTCCACGGTGGATCCGGATCAACCAAAGAGGAGATCAGCACTGCGGTCGGGCACGGTGTCGTCAAAATGAATGTTGATACTGGTCAGTGTATCAAATCTTTTAGCGAATTCAGTCACTGACTGGCGCAACGGTCACTCAGACACTCAGTTTGCTTACCTCGCTGGTATCAGAGTACGATCTTCCATCTGTCCTCGAGATCCCGCAATGGCTGACCACTATCTATCAGGACTTCGTTTTCAAGAAAAAAGATTACCTACTTACTCAGGTTGGCAACCCCGAAGGCGCAGATAAGCCCAACAAGAAGGTGCGTCGCTAGATTATCTTCTCTAAGATTGCCGTCATTCATGCTGGATTGCAGTTCTATGACCCCCGTGTCTGGGTTCGTGAGGGTGAGAAAACGCTCACGGTTCGTGTCAAGGAGGCTTGCAGTGACCTCGGCAACGTTAGTGAGTGTCGAATTGACATTCATCGTTGATTGGTTTTTGATTTGGACCCCATCTGTAGACCAACTGTGAAGAAAATGCCAGTAAATGTATACATAGATTAGAACAAGGTTTGAAGATGTATGACGCGTACGCAAAAGCCCGGGATATTAATTATGACGCCTCACGAGCAATGAGTCGGGATGAGTCTAGATGTGTTTGTGCAGAATGAATCGTCGCAAACATAAGCGTAGTACGCGTACCTATCTAGTGGTCCATGGAAGCACCGGCAGTTTGACAAGTTGACAACTGTGGGCGGTTTCGAACTTCTGTTGAACCAAAGTCAGACCAAAGTGTAATCAACGACGTGTAACTCACAACCGCACCACCATCTCGATCCATAGCACTCCGGTCGAGCCTTGTTTATGGTCTTGTAATTCCAACTGCTCGACAGGACATATAGTGTGCCATAATCAAATATTTAACATCGTGACAAAATGACCATGCGAGATGCTGGTACGTGATTCCTTATCTCTTACTCTGCTCAACTGCGTCTCATAACGTGCACAGTTTTCGCTTCTTTCATCCTTCCCGTCTTCTTGACCATCGAATGCACGAGAGGCATTCTCTACGTTTCCGATAACACGACTAGTGGCCCTCTGCGTTTCCTAGTCTTGGTGCTCAATATCCTCGCATTCGGACCTCTCCGAGTGCTTCTGTCTTGGGTCTTGATGACCGTATGGCTGCCTGTGCGAGCTGTTCTTTGGCTCATGGGCATAGGAAGGGGAGGGCCTAAAAAAGGTGAGTGTCTTTGCTGGCTTGTCGTCCAAGATTTATTTCGACGTCGCGTAATTAGGCTCGGCGGAAGCCACAGCTCGATGGTATGAGCACAGGAAGAGACGTGCGGAGGGATTGGAAGAACAGACAAGGGGAAGATTGGTCCGGAGGACTTGAACCTTGAGGTATTATTTATTTTCTGGGGTTGTCACTGTACTCTCTAGAGGTGTCGCTACAGTTTCTTGCTAGACTGTTGTTGTTATTGTTATTGTCGTCGTCATCTTATCTTGTATTTCTTCTCTCCTTCTGTAGCTCCCTGGCAGATGCCTTACTGTACCGTACTTAAAGGTGCTCAACTCTTTCACTCATGAGTCATTACTCCAGACCTTCGAGACTTGGTCGAATTGTGATCAACTCTGTAATCACGTGACCGCGTGTTTAGCCACGCCTAAGTTAAAGCAATCGATGGAGCGCTCAGCGAACGCGCGCAGATTGCGCCTTAACTATGATGAAGATGTAATTTATGTCGAGCCTCTTGGTATGAAAGCCAGATGTGACCGGAAGTTCTGTTGTGAGCAAGCATACGAGTACGAAGGGGTATTTGTGCGTACAGGTACTATCGAGTCAAGGTACAAGTGAAAAACTCCTTTATCAAAGAACTCTGGTCCTAAAAAATGGATACATACAGCTACAATATCTCTAGTGTCCTGATGTCCATCATGTCGTGAATAGAACCAATGTCTTTGACTTGTGCGATGATAGCGTGATCTGATGCGATTCTCTTGTATTCTCCGCCGCGCTGCTGTGCTAGCAAAAATGCGCTAAAAGGCTGTCCAAGGCGAACAATCAATCGCAACGCTCGCTCGCTCGATTCCGAATCAGTCGACCCCTGTTCTCTAGGGGACCAGCCTGAATCGGATAACGGAGACCCGGGCGGGGTCAAATAGTCCACGCTGTGCGTGTCATCTGAAAAGTCAGGCAGCTCCAGGAGACGACGATCCCAGGGAAGGACGAGCAAAAATGACTGTCGGCTGGGCCTTGCGTGCGAGAACTGAGACAGCCTGTCTTCTGTGGCGATCAGCAAGTCATGAAGTCCGTCTGCCTTGACTTGATATGTGACTTGGCCAGGCCTCCTTCTGACTTCTGTGACGGGGAATGTGATGCAAGGCAGGTGCAGACGGCGGTGCGCAAAACGGGGAGCGGAGAGGTAGTCGAGTTCGCTGTACAATTTCAAAGCCAATTCTACAACCACGGTGTCTCGCAGCGAAGAGACTGATATCTGCATCTCATCCTCAGATAGAGATGGAAGCGTGTACGGTGGAGCTCCGTATGAAGTGATGTCCGCTGGTAGACAGCTATTGAACTCGGATGACCTTCCAACCCAGTTCAGGGCTGTAATGTCCCCCGATTGAGCTACGATTTCTTGCAAAAGGCGCCCGAGCGCGTTTTGCTTCTTCTCACCATACATTACAGGTAGCTGCACGCCGAAGATCCCGAATAATGAGTATGCGACGTCTTCCTGCAGGGTGGTGATACGCTTTGATACCCATTGCAGTTTGTCTCGTGCGCCCATCATCCCAGGACGGAAGTCGATGAGGGCCCGGGCATTTATGCCCGTCGCAACCTCTAACTCCTGCATGATCATGGGAGACTCCTTGTGGTTAGGAGAGCTATCATCAAGATATCGTGTCCAATCATTTTGGTAGAAAAGAACAACCTTGGGAGCTAGAAATTCGGGAACAGTCCATCCTCGCCTGTTCCAGACACTGTTGGCGAGTGCGCCAGACTTGGACGAAGGCGGAACATCCAACAAGTAGACGATTGTGAGCGCTGAGTGGCGATACCAGACAAACATGGAATTGAGCGATTTTTGGAGTTCAACGTTATTGGTTTGGTCGATGCAACATGTGTCGCTCCATGCCCAGCGATGCCCCACATTACGAGTCGTTCTGCAGAATGACTGCAACTTCACGATGCCGCCAACTGGATTCAGTTCGTACACGACCTGGTCCTGGATGTCCTGCAATAGCAACTCCTTCCCTTCCCACCTATGCGATAGCATGACGCAACGGAAGTACGTCATCACCACGTCTTGGATGTGATTCATTTGCAGCTCTGCACGCTTCAACGATGACGACAAAAGCTCCTTGTACTCCGTGCTCGATTTAAAGGCATTAATCTGTGCCTCTCGATCGCATAAGCGCCCAGTGTAGGTGTCAAGCAGACGCAGCGGGGCGTCATCGAGTTGCGCATATGTGACCCTTCGAATAGCACTATCTGCTTCAGATGGACTGACATACTGCTGGCGCGGCTCTGCAGAAAGGGTCAAATATGTTGACGTGTGTGGTAGTAGTTAAGGCTTACTTTGTATTTGTGTCTCTGGAGTATCGTCCAACTTGGAGAGCATGGTTTGGAAAGCCTCGATCGCTTCATCGTAACGTTGTGCGCCATGAAGTGCTGCATGCTTCACCTCGTATCCAAGATACGAGGACGGGTTCAGTTCAATAACCTACGTATTACCAAAATGAGAATCGGTTTGTAACTGATAGATGCCATCGCACCTTTTGCGCATCGAGCAGCGCATCCTCCCATAGCGTTTTTTCCGATCTTGCCTTACTGCGGTTTGCAAAGATATTATAAGTTGCAGAATCCAGGTCGATCGCCACTGAGTAGATCTCAATAGCCCTGTCGTACTCGCTCGCAGCGAGGGCAGCGTCTCCACTCGCAGCGAGGTCAGCAACTCCGTTGGCAGCATAGCGCGCGCTGCAATCTTGCTTGAAAGCTACGTGGAATGTAGGTGAGGATTGTAGCCTGTTGACATTCCAGAAGACTTACCAGTGGACCAATCAAGGCAGCTTGACTTCGTAGCTTCATCACTCATATCCATCATGTGTCGGTACGATTTGAGGGCTTCTTCAGGTTTACCTGCATGAAGAAGCGCATGACATAGTTTCTGGTTTGCGATTTGCCATGAGGACCTGAGGTCCCACCCGAAGAGCTGGGCGGTTGAGCGTGAAAAGTATGTTTGATCGTGTCACATCAACGTACCACGATAAAGTCCTCATATCTGGACTGAATGCCCGATTCGAGTAATAACGCACCCAAGTTGATAGCGGTAGTGAAGTGTTCAGTAGCTTCATCGTAATGTGTACCATCCAAGGCGTTGATTCCAATTTGAACATATAGATACGCCTGATGTGTGAAGTTCATAAAAATCCGTCAACAAATGTGGACTCGATGGAGTGTGATACTGACTTCCACGATACGACAGACAAGAATATCAGCATTGGGACAAGTGCCAGCTAGCTCTTGTACGCGCTGTATTGCGTCCTCGTGTTGATTCGCATTAAAAAGTGCGATAGCCTGAAAATGGCAATGAGACAGGGACTCTGCGAAAGAAAAAATGACCTGCCTTGATCAAAAGGAGATTGATCGTCTTTGAATCTCTCGTGAATACGGACGCGAGGTCAAATGCTTTCATCGCGTCCTTAAAGTGCATTTTTCCACAGAAGGCGATGCCTTTGGAAATATAGCCTGACAAGGAGGGCTGTATGCTGATGGACTACATCGCCATCAAAGTTAGGCTATCACAAGGAAGGTCACGATGGGACAGTGTATCCCACCTTAAGCGCATCATGAAGCGCACGGTCCCAGTCGAGTTTTCGTGACATCGCAAATGAACGATTAGCATAGGAGTTGTAGTCGTTGCCATCAGCATCAATCTCTTCAGTTAGCAACTTTTCAGCAGTCGGCAAGTCGCCAGTTATCCATGCATTGCGGACCGTTGGGTATATAGTAAGGATCTACATAAAGCACGATCAACATTGCGTAATAAGATAAAGGGTAGAAGCATACCGTAGAATCAGCGTCTTGAGCCTAACACCAACATCGGGAGTCAATGTGCAAGTAGACGAAGTGACGACGAACTTACGTTGTTTATCGTTCGTTCGTGTGGAGCCTCCTCTAGCAACACGACCTTGTACGAGATGAGATGGCGGAGGGACGGGAAATGATCGGGAACTAACCTCTGATGCCTTGGGAGGGTCCTCCAGCAAAGCAACCTTGGGTATTGCCCACTGTAAAACTTTCTTATTAGCACCCCCGGTGAGGATGTGCCTGCCATCCATGGAGAAAGTGACAGAATACACATTATCGGAGTGTTTGAATATGGCAATGGTGTGTCGATCCGAGGGCCGCCAGAGGCGGACATGCTTGTCGTCAGATGCGGAAGCGACAAGTGTGCCAGTAGAGTTCACGGCAATAGCGTTGACCTGGTAAGTATGACCTGTCCAGGGATCACCGATTTGCTTCCAGGTTGATGGATCCCAGACCCGTATTGTCGGATCCAGAATAGTACTTGCTGAGAGAAGTCGTGAACCATCGGGCATCCACGCGAGTGACAAGTTGAACACGGCGTGAGCTGTGAAGTTTGCGATGCATTCCTTCGTGTCTGCACTCAAAATCTGGACATCCTTGAATGTCGCGATGGCAAGATGTTTTCCAGATGGTGCATATCGAATGCAGTAGACTGCTGCACGGCAATCGATTGGATCTCCTTGCAGGAGCCAGGTTCTGGTGTTCCAGAACTTCACGGTGCTATCCAAGGAACCGGTTGCCAGCAGTGCACCATCTGCAGAAAAGTCCAGCGAGTAGATCGATCCGAAGTGGGCTTTTATGACTTGTGTGAGAGCATTGCCAGTATCTCTGTCCCAGGTAATGAGCTCTCCGTTATAATCCCCGCTTGCTATCAACTGCCCATCTCTTGATACCGCAACTGCTCGCACTGCGTTGCGATGTCCCTCCATTTTCTTCAACACAACACCCTTCTTCAAGTCCCACAGACGAAGCGTCTTGTCTGTGGAACCTGTGACAATACGTTGTTTATCGGGAAAAACTGCGACTGCCCGTACGATGTCTGTATGAGCTCCAATCTCTCGAACGTGCATGTTCATTTGGAGGATGGGGTCCGCTGCTTCCTCCATTCTGCTGGATGTTGATGATTTTTAGCACGGTGTCGAGCCTATGAAGATTGTGGATGTCTTGATGACTTACTGGCATCAGAGGCTTGTGCACTGGTTGTTTTGTAAAAATCCAAATCCAGACCTGTCAGATTAGACGCCCAAGGTTGATTGATTGATTGATGAAGTTTGCCCTTGCTACAAACAACCACTTGAAGCTCCATTCGCTGCAAACTAGGAGTAGCTTCCTGCCTTTGCATCAATTCTGCACAGTTGGCCAGCGGATAACTCCGTTGCTGCGCAGCAAGCCTGTATAGAGTCTTAGTCTCTTGGACGAAACGCGTCAAATCGAAGACACTTCAGTTATTCAAACTTCACGCGTAGTAAGTACTTACGTTCAAGCCTGACGGTCTAATAATAGCCGCTTTCCTAAATGTCGGGGGCTATAAGTTGCACTTACTCCAGCGCACCATCCAGCTTGTTGGATTCGTGAACTTTACTGGTACGTCGTTCCCTCCTGCTCACATTCTCTCATGACACAGACTACTAGTAGGCGTGTATTTAGTTCGTTGTAGTACTCGCTACATTTGGAGTCGCAACTGTTGGACTTTCAATCCACGACCTCTAATTGACTGCCGTGCAATCGCTGCACTACCAGCATCAATATTTCGAGAACGGACAGGTCACACGATCTCGCCAACTCCTGCTGGATTCAGCCTTTGCATTTTGCAAGGCTCTGTCTACTTTTTTTGGTGGTGTTTTCGAGAAGGAACCAATTACTCAACAGCGGCTCATTTGGACTGGGCTCCCGCTGGACATTCAAATGGGTCGAACCTTTTCATGGTTGGTTCAGAGACCTCGATTAGGCAGTTATTCGCGTCCCATACTCACAACTACCCTGAGGAAGCAGATGTACGTGGTAGCCTTGATTCTCTATCATCACTCATTGAAGGGCCGGCCAATTTCAATAACACCATACCTCAATGGGGATTAGAACGATCTGTGGCGAGTGCTCAACCAACAGTTGGTAGCTATGAATAGTACGAGCACATACGCGCGCAGGCTTACGTGCAGATCGAAAACGGCCGCATTTACACCCATTTGCCTGTGATGTCGACTTCTAGAACGAATTGCATGACTAGCTTTATCGACCGGATCGTTGAGATCAAAAAGGGTGACAATAGTGGAAGTTCCCTGTAATATTTAGACCCTTAGGCATCTCAATACAGGTTACTGCCTCTTTGAACTCGTCTTCCCCGCGGTATTTAGTAAGCTGCACACGTCGTCCCGTCTCCTGCTGGCGTACGATATCTTGGGCTCTGCACCTCCGTACTGCAACTCACACTTGCCGTCATCTGCTTTGTGCTGCATGCGCTAGAAATGCGGCAGATGCTACGTCATTGGCAAGTCATGAAAGTTCTCATAAAAGACAGCACAATCTGCTTCTCAATGGAAGGCATGTCATTGCTCAGCTGGGTCCCTCAGTTCCGTGATAGCGTGTTCGTACGAGTAACAGATGCATTATTATTGCAGTTAGAATTGTGCTGCTTTCCTGTAGCAGCGAGACACATACACCGTAACCAATGAAAACTATATACTCAAAGATCTCTGTGCTTAAAAATGCATACCACTACAATATCTCTACTGTCCTGACGTCCGTGGTACGAAGAGAAGCTATGTCTTTGACTTGTGCAATGATAGTACGGTCCGTGGCGATTCTCTTATATTCTCCGCCACGCTGCTGCGCTAGCAAAAATGCGTGGAAAGGCTGTCCAAGGCGAACAATCAATCGCAAAGCTCGTAAGTGAGACTCCGGATCAGCTGACCCTCTGTTTCCAGAAGATCGGCTGAGTGAACCGAAAAATGCGAAAGGTTGTCGCAGGCGATCAATTAATCGCGAAGATCGCGAGTGGGACTCCGAATCAACCAGCTCATGTTCTCTAGGAACCTCGGGCGCAGATAAATCCTCCACGCTCAGTCCAGAGTCGGGCAGCTCGAGGAGATAACGATCCCACGGACGGACAAGCAGGAACGTCTGCCGGGTGGCGATTGCCCGCGAGGATGGAATCAACTTCTCTTCCGTGGTGATCAACAGGTCGTGAACCCCATCTGTCTTGACTTCATACGAGAGATTTGTCTCCTGATCTTGAGGACGGCTCCGTTTGACTGCTGTGACACGAAATGCGATGCAAGGTAGTTGCAGTCTGCAGTTTGCAAAACGAGGGGCGGTCGTATTGTCAAGCAGTGTATAAAGCTTCATAGCGGGTTCCACGGCCACGGAAATTCGCAGCGAGGAGACCAATGCCTGAATCTCATCTTTGGATAGGGATGGCAGCATGCTTGGTGGAGCTTTGTATGATGTGATGTCTGCTGGCAGACAGCTGTTAAACTCGGATGATTGTCCCACCCAGTCCAGGGCACTAATGTCACCCGACTGAGCCACGACCTCCTGCAAGAGCCGCCCAAGCGCCTTTTGTTTCTTCTCGCCATAAATAACATTTAGGTTGACACCGAAGATGCCAAATAATGAGTATGCGATGTCTTCCTGCACCGTGGTGACACGCGTCGACACCCATTGGAGTTTCTCTCGGGCATCTCTCATCCCCGGACGGAAGGTGTTGAGGGTCTGTTTATCTATGCCTGTCGCATCTGCGAACTCCTGCATAATTGCGACAGACTCCTTGTGGTTGGGGGAGTGATCACCGAGATATGGTGTCCAATCATTTTGGTAGAAGAGAACGACCTTGGGAGCCAGGAATTCTTGAACCGTCCATCCTCGCGTGTTCCAGGCACTGTTGGCGAGTGCGCCAGACTTGGACGAAGGCGGAACATCCGACAGGTAGACAATGGTAAGCGCTGAGTGGCGATACCAGATAAACATGGAGTTGACCGATTCTTGTACCTCGATGTTGTTGCTTTGGTCGATGCAACACGTATCGACCCATCCCCAGCGATATCCCGATTCCCAGGTTGTCTTGCAGAATAACTGTAACTTCGCGATGCCTCCAACTGAATTCAAATCATACACGACCTTGTCCTGGATGTCGCGCAGCAGCGGCTCCTTCCCTTCCCACCTATGCGATAGCGTGACATAACTGAAATACTTTGCCACCACGTCTTTGATGCGCGGAATTTGGAGGTCTGCACGTGTCACTGTTGATGACAAAAGCTCCTTGTGCTCTGTGCTCGTTCTGAAGGCATTGATTTGTGCCTCTCGATTACATAAGCGCCCAGTGGCGGTGTTGACTAGACGGTACGGGGCGTTCTCGAGTTGAGCCTTGATGGTCTCTTGAATAGCACCTTCTACTTCGCGTCGACTGAGATACTGTTGGCGTAGCTCTGGAAACAAGTGAAGCATGTTGAAGCATGTGTTAATTTTAAAAAAAATTACTTCGGGACGTACCTTGTGTTTGCATGTCGGGAGCATCTTCCAACTTGGAGATCATGATTTGGAAGGCCTCGATCGCTTCGTCATATCGTTGTGCGCCATGGAGCGTTGCATGCTTCAACTTGTATCCGAGATAAGATGAAGGGATGAGTTCGATGACCTGCACATTTCCAAAATCAGCATCGTCTATGAAACAATAGAAGCCGTGACACCTTTTGTGCATCGAGAAGCGCATCTTCCCATAGCTTTTGTTCCGATTTCGCCTTCCAGCGGTTTGCAAAGATGGTAGTGGTTGCAAAATCGAGGTCAATTGCTACAGAGTAGAGCTCGATTGCCCTGTCGTGATTGCCCGTAGTGAGGGCATCATCTCCCTTCGCAGCGAGGTCAGCAACTCCATTGGCAGTATAATGAGCGCTGCAATCTTGCCCGAAAGCTGAGTGAAATGTAGGTGAAGATTGTAGCCCATTGACATTGTGAAGACTTGCCAGTGCACCAATCAAGGCAGCTTGCCTTCGTAGCTTCGTCACTCCTATCCATCATGTATCGGTACGATTTGAGGGCTTCCGCGAGTCTACCTGCGCGAAGGAGTGCAATGCACCGGTTCTGGTGTGCAGTTCGCCACAATGACTTGAGGTCCCACCCGAATAACTAGCCAAAGCACACAGTTGAGGGTGAGAAAATGGTTCTCAGTTGCATCGCATTGACGTACCACCACAAAGACCTCATATTTAGAATGAATGGCCGATGTAGATGAGAAAGGGATCGCATTGACAGCAGCATTGAAGTGGTCAGCAGCTTCGTCGTGACGCATGACAGCTAAGGCATCGGTTCCGATTTGGACATGAAAATAAGCCTGATGTGCGAAGTTCGCAAAAATCAATGACAACACTAACGACACATGAACGTGGACTTGACTGAGTAAAAAACACTCACTTCCACGATACCACAGGCAAGAGTATCGGCATTAGGAAAAGTGGCAGCCAGTTCCTGGACGCGCAGAATTGCCTCGTCACGTTGATTCGCATTAAAAAGGGCGACGGCCTAACAACCGTCATGAAGTAGGGAGTATGCAAGACGAAATCGACGTACCTTAATCAAGAGCAAAAGATGAGTGGTATTCGAATCTCCATCGACGAACATAAATGCGAGGTCAAATGCTTTCATCGCGTCCTGTATCTGTCTTTTCCCGCAAAGGGTGATGCCCTTGGAGATACAACCTATCAACGAGGGCTGAATGCTGATGCTCTATGCCACCGTGTAAATCAGCCTGCGTCAAAGAGGTCACGACTCACGATGGAACAGTGTCTCTTACCTTAAGTGCATCATGAAGTGCGCTGTTCCAGTCAGATTTTCTCGCCATAACAAATGAGCGATTCGCATAAGAGTTATAGTTGTTTCCATCAGCATTGATATCTTGTGTTAGCAGCGCATCAGCGGTAGACAAGTCCCCGGTTATGCATGCATTGCGGGCTGTCGTATTTATTTCGAGGATCTGCATCATGCATGGTCACATTGTGGTGCAATGGTTAAGAAGGAAACATACGTCAGAATGAGACTCTTCAGCCTTGGCATCAAGATTTAGGTTTCATGTGCAAGAAGACGAACACGCGGAAAATGAACGGGAACTCACATTGTTTGTTACCTGTTCCTCCGAAGCGTCCTCCGGCAATGCGACCTTGGACAAAATGAGATGACGAAGGTACGGGAAATGAACAAGAACTTACCTCCAGCAATGCATCGCCTGGAACCGCCCACTGTGAGACTACATTCCCTCCTCTACCTCCGCTGAGGATGTACTTGCCATCTGTGGAGAAGGTAACACAGAAGACGTTGTATGGGTGCTTGAATATGGCTATATTTCGCCGGTCGGAGAAACGCCAGAGGCGGACATGCTTGTCACCAGATGCGGAGGCTACAAGGGTGCCAGAGGAATTCATGGCAATAGCTTTGACAAAGTCAGTATGACCCTTCCACGGCTCACCGGCCTGCTTCCAGGTCGATGGATCCCATTCCCGTACACTAGGATCATCCTCTGTGCCCCCTGACAGAAGCCGTATACCATCGAGCGTCCACATGAGTGAGTAGTTCCATGCTCCGTTGAACGCAGCATGACCCTTGAAGTCTGCGATGCATTCCCCAGTGCTTGGATTCCATATTTGGATATTCTTGGATGTCGCGATGGCAAGATGTTGACCAGACGGGGAATACCGAACACAATTGACTTTTGCATTACAATTGAGTGGATTGTCTTGAACCTGCCATGTTTCTGTGCTCCAGAGCTCCGTCGTATTGTCCCATGAACCACTTGCCAGCATTGCGCTGTCTGGAGAAAAGTCGAGCGATGTGATCTCTTGGGAGTGGACTTTCATAGGTTGGGTGAGAGGTTCGCCGTCGCTGTTCCAGGCTATGACCTCTCCATTGCCATCACCGCTTGTTATCAATTGTCCGTCTCTTGATACCGCAATTACTCCTACTATGTCGCTATGCCCCTCCATTTTCTTCAACACAACACCGTCTTCTAAATCCCATAGGCGAAGGGTCGTGTCTGCTGAACCTGTGACCATACGGCGTCTGTTGGGGAAGACTGCGACTGTCATGACACTATCTTCATGACCTTCAAATGTTCGACTGGGTGTCGTGATTCGAATGATGCGCTGTGCTGCTTCTGCCATTCTGCTGGGGGTGGATGGTGTTGAGCAGTCTATGTGGACTTGCTGTAGGGCTTGTGGGTGTCTCGATCTAAGTTGCACACGTGCGTGTACGGGGCGTGCTTGTGCTTTTTCACAGCCTCAAACTGCTTCGTGTCCCGGTAGACGCCCCGGACACGAGGCTGCCCTCAAACTTATATTTGTTGCAAAAGTTGCAACCAGGTTATCGTATCCAGTTTACTCGACGATTTCACTTCGCAGTCTTTCTTTCACAACTCAAGTCCTGTTCAATAGTAACATCGGTACCGCGATCGCCTCCTGTATTATGGGGCAGCATGCCATCGCATCCTGCTCAGGTTGGGGTCCTGCTCTAGGGCACGACCTCACCCGTCTGAATCGTCACAACTGCGGTGCGTTGACCTCCTTTCGCTATTCATTTCGCTCGCTGTACTGTTATCTGTAACATCCTATTGACTTGTAAAGTCTGGAGGTATATGGGACATCGCCCACGAGTTTCGCTTCCTGCGTCGGCTAGTTCTGATGAAAGCTGGTTGACTTTCGTTGTGGAGTCAGTTTGTGAACGACTTCTCGTGCGGTATTCAGAATGTCTGATCTAATCTAGATGATATGCATTACACGCACGGCCGAACTGAAGCAAGTTCTTTCCCAACAGACAGGGTAGACCACCATTTTTCAGCCTTTTTTGCACCCTCTGAGCGTGTGTTCAGACCGTAGCCTTGAGAGCTCTGGCATATTCCAGGACAGGTCAGGATCTGGTGTTGGTCAACATTGTGCGGGGCTCGATATTAATCTTCCTTGGCACATTTTCTCTGACCTCGTGACCAACGCTGGACGGCATTGGTATCGTCCGTGCCTGTCCCCTGGATGGACTCTTGGCGGAAAGGCACCGTGTCGACTCATTGGAAGCCATTTTTGCACGCTTGTTCATCTGGCTATATGCACGTGTGCGGGAAAGAGTGGCTCCTGCCCATGCATTGGATGTTGTGCGAAAAGATGGAGGGTGTGGTCCTTGAGGTGATTTTGGGTGCACGTGAATTGGCTACCATTGATAGTGACAATTGAATCATTTTCCGACTTTGCCTGGCAGTGTGTCTGTCTGTGATTCAGAGTCCCTGGTCAGTTGCATGGTGACATCATGGGTACATGCACTACTCTAATGAAAGACGGTACTATTGTGACCTGGAATGCCAAGCAAAGATGTGTTGCATCGCGTCACTGTTTGAACAATGTAGAAATTAGTGCACTTTTTTTTCCTGTTGTAGCACGAATGCTTGGGTTATGCGTGTATACAAGTAGCTAGCGAGAAAAAAACTTCTCAGAGATCAATTCTTCGAGAAAAAAAGTGTACATACAGCTACAATTTGGCTACAATATCTCGAGTGTCCTGATGTCCATCATGTCCTGAACAGAAGCTGCGTCTTTGACTTGTGCAATAATATCATGGTCTGACGCGATTCTCTTGTATTCTCCGCCGCGCTGCTGTGCTAGCAGAAATGCGCTAAAAGGCTGTCCAAGGCAAACAATCAATCGCAATGCACAGTCGCTCAATTCCGAGTCAACCAAGCCCTGTCCTCCAGGAGACCCGCCAGGAGAATTCTGGGACGAAGACTCAGGTTGGGGCCAATCCTCCACGATCTGCGTATCATCTGCAAAGTCAGGCAGCTCGACGAGACGACGATCCCAGGGACGGACGAGCAAGAATGATTGTCGAGCGGGCCTTGCACGCGAGAACTGGGGCAGCTTGTCATCCGTGGTGATCAGTAGGTCGTGAAGCCCGTCTGCCTTGACTTCATACGTGGAAGATGTCTCCTGGTCTTGAAGAGGCCTTCGTTTGACTGCTGTGACAGGGAATACGATGCATGGCAGATGGAGACGGCGGTTTGCAAAACGTGGAGCGTTCAGGTAGTCGAGTTTGCTATACAATTCCAGAGCCAACTCTACAACCACATTGGCTTGCAGCGAGGAGACAGACATCTGTATCTCATTTTCAGATAGAGGTGGCGGCGTAGACGGTGGAGCTTCGTATGGGGTGATGTCGGCTGGCAGACAGCTGTTGAACTCGGACGATGTTCCGACCCAGTCCAGGGCGCTAATGTCGCCCGACTGAGCTATGATCTCCTGCAAGAGCCGTCCGAGCGCATTCTGCTTCTTCTCACCATACATCACAGGTAGCTGGACACCGAAGATACCAAACAATGAGTATGCGATGTCTTCCTGCAGCGTGGTGACACGCGTCGACGCCCATTGAAGCTTCCCTCGGGCATCTGTCATCCCCGGATGGAATGCAACGAGGGCCTTCGCATCTATTCCTGTCGCATCCTCCAACTCCTCCATGATTGCGGCAGACTCCTTGTGGTTGGAAGAGCGGTCGTCAAGGTACAAAGTCCAATCATTTTGGTAGAAGAGGATGGATTTCGGAGCCAGGAATTCTGGCACAGTCCATCCTCGCGTGTTCCATACACTCCTTGCTAGTGCTCCAGATGCAGATGAAGGCGGAACATCCGACAGGTAGACCATCGTGAGTGCTGAGTTACGATACCAGAGAAACATGGAATTGAGCGATTTTTGGACCTCGACATTGTTAGTCTGATCGATGCAACACGTATCCGTCCATCCCCAGCGAAAACCCGCTTCCCGAGCGGTTTTGCAGAATGACTGCAACTTTACGATGCCGCCAACTGGACTCAAGTCGTAGATCACCTTGTCCTGGACGTCGTGCAGCATTGGCTCCACATCTCCCCACCTATGTGACAGCATGACGCAATGGAAGTATGTGGCCACCACGTCTTTAATGCGCTCCTTTCGAAGGTCTGCATACATTACTGTTGATGATAGAAGTTCTTTGTATGCTATGCTCGCTCTGAAAGCATTGATTTGCGCTTCTCGATCGCACAAGCGCCCATTGGAGGTATTAAATAGACGAAGCGGGGCGTCGTCGAGTAAAGCGTGAATGACCTTGCGAATGGCACCTTCTGCTTCGGATTGACTGACGTACTGCTGCCGCAGCTCTGGACGAATAGTCAAGACCGTGATGCATGTGTGATTCTCGGCTTACGTCGTATATGCATGTTAGAAGAAGCGGAAGCATGTTCCAACTTGGAGAGCATGACCTGGGAAGCCTCGGTGGCTTCATCATAGCGTTGTGCGCCATGAAGCGCTGCATGCTTCAATTGGTATCCAAGGTGAGATGAAGGGTTGAGTTCGATAACCTAGGTATCACCAAAATAAGCATTCGGTACGAAATGATAGATGTCATTGCACCTTTTGCGCATCGAGAACCGCATCCTCCCATAGCAATTTTCCCAATTTCGCCTTGCAGCGGTTTGCAAAGATAGTGTCGGTTGCCAAATCGAGGTCGATCGCCACTGAGTACAGATCGATAGCGCTGTCATAATCGCCCGCGGCGAGGGCAGTATCTCCCTTTGCAGGGAGGGCAGTAACTCCGTTGTCAGAATAGAGCGCGCTGCAATCGTGCTGGAAAGCTGAGTGGAATGCGGATGAGCATTTAGTCCGGTGATATTATTAAGACTTGCCAGTGGACCAATCAAGGTAGCTCGCCTTCGTGGTTTCGTCACTCTGGTTCATCACGTATCGGTATGATAGGAGGGCTTCTGGAACTCTACCTGCGCGAAGGAGCGCATTGCACCGGTTCTGGTGTGCGGTTTGCCACAAGGACTTGAGGTCCCACCCAAATAGCTGCACGAAGCACATAGCTAAGCGTGAGAACAAGACTTTCTCAGTCGCATCGCGATCAACGTACCACCACAAAGACATCATATTTAGAATAGATGGCCGATGAACATGAGAAGGGGATTATATTGACAGCGACAGTGAAGTGGTCAACAGCTTCGTTGTGACGCGTGGCATCTAAGGCACTGGTTCCCAGTTGCACGTGCAGATAAGCCTGATATCCGCACAGATCAGTGTCAACGCATGAATGTAGACTTGACTGAGTCAATAACACTCACTTCTACGATACCACAGGCAAGAGTATCGGCATTAGGAAAAGTGGCAGCTAGCTCTTGGACGCGCAGAATTGCCTCGTCAGGTTGGTTTGCATCAAAAATGGCGATGGCCTGACAGTCGTCATGAAGGAGGAAGTATGTAAGACAAAATTAACGAACCTTAATCAAGAGCAAAAGATGAGTGGTATTCGAATCTCCGTCGACGAACATGAACGCGAGGTCAAATGCTTTCATCGCATCCTGGAACTGCCTTTTCCCGTAAAGGGCGATGCCCTTGGAAATACAGCCTGTCAACGAGGGCTGAATGCTCATACTCTATGTCACCATATAAATTAGCTTATTATAACGAGGTCATGATGGGATAGCGTATCTCACCTGAAGCGCGTCATGAAGCGCGCGGTCCCAGTCGGATTTTCTCGCCCTAATAAACGAGCGATTTGCATAGGCATTGTAGTCACTACCATCAATGTTAATCTCTTTTGTTAACATATCGTCGGCAGTAGGCAAGTCCCCAGTTGTGCATGCATTGCACACTGTCTTGTCTATGGCGAGGATCTGCGTCACGCACGGTCACATGGCGTTATAAGAGTTGAGGAAGGACGCGTACCTCGGAATCAGATACTTGAGCCTTGGCATCAAGATTTAGGTGTAATTGCATGAAGACGAGCACACGGGAAATCAACAGAAACTCACGTTGTTTGTCACCTGCTCCTCTGAAGCGTCCTCCGACAATGCATCCTTGGACGAGATGAGATGACGAAGGGAGGGGAAATGAACAGGAACTTACTTCTGATGTCTGTTCCTTGGGAGTGGCCTCCAGCAAAGCGTCATCGGGTACTGCCCACTTTAAGACCTTCGAATCTTGGCCTCCGCTTAGGATGTACTTGCCATCCACGGAGAAGGTGACACGGTACACGCTGTATGAGTGCTTCAGTATGGCGACGGTTCGCCGATCCGAGAGCCGCCAAAGGCGGACATGGGTGTCATCAGATGCAGAGGCAACAAGTGTGCCAGTAGGGTTCACCGCAATGGAGTAAATAGGTTTGGTATGCCCTCTCCAGTGACAACCAACCTGTTTCCAGGTCGATGAATCCCACTCGAGTACGCTGGGATTTGACTTAGATCCTGATGATAGAAGCCGTGTGCCATCAGGCGTCCATGTGAGTGAGTAGTTCCATGCTTTAGCACCAGCGTGACCCTTGAAATTTGCGATGCGCTCCCTTGTGCCTGGATTCCATATTTGGATTTCGCTCACTGTTGCGATGGCAAGATGTTGACCAGACGGGGAATATCAAACACAGTTGACTTCTGCACTGCAATTGATTGGATTTTCTTGAACCTGCCATGTCTCTGTGCTCCACAGCTCCGTTGTGGTGTCCAATGAACCACTCGCGAGCACTGCGCAATCTGGAGAAAAGTTAAGCGAGCATATCCGTTTGGAGTGGACTTTGATGGGTTGGATGAGAGATTCGCCGTCTCTGTTCCATGCGATGAGCTCTCCGCTGTCATCACCGCTTGCTATCAATTGCCCGTCTCTTGATATCGCAACTGCTCGCACTCCACCGCGATGCCCCTCCATTTTCTTCAACACAACGCCGTCTTCTAAGTTCCACAGACAAAGCGTCTTGTCGTACGAGCCCGTCACCATACGACGTCCATCAGGGAAGACTTTGACTGCGAGAATCTTTCTTTTGTGACCTTCAAATGTTTGACAGGGTGTGGTCATTCGAATGATGGGCTGTGCTGCTTTCGCCATTCTGTTGC